CAGCTCCTGGTCTTGTTTTTATTGACTGTATAGAGCTTCTCCATCTTTGGCTGCAGAGCACATAGTCAATCTGATTTCTATGTTGACCATCTGGTGATGTCCATGTGTAGAGCCATCTCTTGGGTTGTTGGAAAAGAGTGTTTGTTATGACCATCGTATTCTCTTGACAAAATTCTATTAGCCTGTGCCCCGCTTCATTTTGTACTCCAAGGCCAAACTTGCCTGTTATTCCGGTTATCTTTTGGCTTCCTACCTTAGCATTCCAATCCCCCATGATGATAATGACATCATTTTTTGGTGTTAATTCTATAAGGTGCTGTAGGGCTTCATAAAACTGGTCAATTTCATCCTCTTCAGCACCAGTGGTTGGGGCATAGATTTGGACTATTGTGATATTGAATGGTTTGCCTTGGATTACTTTGGCCTTTATACTGTATTTAATCATAGTCCCTTATTTTCATTAGGTTCCTTATCTTCACTTGCAAAAATTGGAGATCATTTGCATTTTAAGCTGTGTCATCAGCATAGTATAAGTTGTTGGTGTTTCTTCTTCCAGTTTTAAAACAGTGCTTATTTTCTTCCAATCCAACCTCTCTCAATTAATGTTCAGCATATAAATTGAATAAATAAGGAGAGAGTATACAGCCTTGTCTCAGTTCTTTGCTGACTTGAAGCCAGTCTCTTTCTCCATGTTCCATCTAGACTGTTGCTTCCTGTTCTGCCCATAGTTTCACATGAGCACAATGAAATGTGCTCAGATTTTCAATACACAATCAATACTATACAACTGAAGGTCTTTCTATAATCAATTAAGTGCATACTGACTTTTAGGGGTGATTTGCTTTTTGTTCAACTACCCACTACCCATGAGCAAAAATGTACCTTGCTGCTTGACCTTTTTCTAAAGCCATCTTAAACATCTGGCATATCCCTTTCCTTCTGGAATTCTACTGTAGTGGCCAAAATTGTGGAAACCTTTTGGGAAAAGTGTATTTTTGAAGTCTGATGGTTAACAACACTACTTTTTGGGGGGAGTAGTACCATAAAATTATATATCAATGGAAAGATAATTTAATCAAGAATGTAATGCAATAAAGTTTGTTCAGTTATCTGTACTGTATTCTATCAAAAGTTATAGCCAAATAACCAGAAAAAGGAAGCACAACTTGCTTAGGCTGATATCAGGTAGCTTTCCTTCATCTGATTGTAGCCAATGAGCATGAGTGTTTAGGGAGCCAATCATGTGTCATCTTATTTTGGCAATGAGCCAATCAGATCACAGTAGGATTCAGTTACTGATGTCATGTATTGAAGCTGAGAGGAGGACATTTGTCAGTGTGTTATGTGATCGCTATCAAGTTGGTTGGTTTTTTTTTTCTTTCATTTAGCTTGTAAAACGTAATAAAATTAAGGTAATGGTGCAAAGAGTTGACTGGTTGCCCAGAAAGTGATGTAAAATAGTATTATTAAGTGAACAAGGCTACAGTTATAAAAAAATTAGAAGAAAAATTGGTGGAAACTTAACCAAAGTGGCATTTCTACTGTACACTTTTCCCAAAAGTTTGCCACAATTTTGGCCACTACTGTAAGTGTCATTTTGATAGGATATAAAATTAAAGATACTATATGGTAGTTTGCACACCCTATTAAGTCTCTTGAAATATCTTGCCATAGATTCTTCATTAATTCCTGTAATTTTCCAACCTGGTGCTGATCAGAGTGTATTCTAAATTATCTTGAATGTTGACGTCTCTACAGTGTATTATTTCATTCTTTCTTTGATCTTCATTGAATCAGTAACTACCCATCCAGTGGCATCCTTTAGCATACCAGTCCCAGGTGGGAACCTCCTTCTGAGTTTGGAAAAATCTTTTGCTAAGACTTTCCTTGTTTTTCCATGTCTGTTTCCATTTTCAATATCTTTACGGATGTTGTAATACTGCTACTTGTCTCAGCTCTCTGAAATTTAGCGAGAGAATTTCTCTCACATCTTGCTTGCTTATTTTGTCAGCTTCAGATTGAACTTGGCCATAAAACTTATCAACCTCCTCTTCTTTGCATCAGCGGTTGGAGCATAAAATAAAGTGGTTGATGTATTAAAGGCTTGTCTGTAAAGTGTGACTGATATTATCCAGTGATTGACTGTGTTGTACTCAAGTATTGACTTTGCTACATTCTTCCTTAGTATGAAAGCAACATTGCTCCTTTTCTGTGTGTGTACTGAATAGTAAATGATATTATGAGTGAAAATGTCCAGCTCCAATCCATTTCATTTGTCGATGCCTAAGCAGTCAATGATTCATTTTATCTTTCACTAAGTTGAGGTTTCCCATGTTCACCTTCCCATTGCCATTCTCTCTATCTGCACTTTGGATGTTTTTCTCCTGCACAGCAACTGATCAGCAACTTGATGTCCTGCAGGCCTTAATTTAGCTACATCACAAACATCATTAGTACTCTGAGATGCTCAGTTCTTCCTCATCTTTAGTGCCATCTGACCTGAGGGGCCCATCGTCTGGCACTCTATTGGCATAATTTAATATTTTCTATCCATGTGGGTTTCTTGAAAAAAAAATACAGGAATGGTTTACACAGGCTTCTCCTGTGAAAAATGAAATAATGCATTTGCTATTGTCACTAAAATGATCATCCACTACCAGCCTCTTCTTATGTCAGTGCTGCCCAATATAGGAGCATGCTTGCTTTAGCTGGGCACTCGGAATGACTTTCACATCTTGGGCGACCCTTCTTCAAATATATTTCTGCTGTTCTATTCATGTCTGCCAGGAACATCCCCACCACTATGAAGGAGCGCAGCAGGACTTGATGGGGAGGCTACTGTAAATTATGGTTAGTGCACAGACAGATATTTCAACTGGATTTGGCATTTTTGTCTACCTATCCAGTCCTTTTCAAGAACCTGGGATTGGCAGATATTGTTTAATATTATTAAAGGTATTTGTCGCAGGATGTAAGCTGTTCCAAGTGAAGCTGTCTTTTGCAATTTACTGAGGGTGATTTTGTCAATGCCAGTAGTGTTCAAGTGGTGCTCCAGATCTCAGTGGATTTGATTTGTAATCGCCACGTTGCTAGATGTCCAAAAATGTCAACACCTAGTGGGTCAAGTGAGGGTCTGTGATCCTGAAACCCTTATAAACAGAAGAACAATGACACCGACATCCGCTAAACTCTGCTGAAGATGTTACCTAGTTACCTTCCTACACCTTCACCCTCTTCCTACACCCGAACTATAGATATTCATCACTATTGCTTACCTAATATTCTTGCCTCCCATTTTCCCCATAACAACTCTGTGGAGTAGGTTGTTCTAAGAGTGACTAGCCCAGTCACCCAGCCACCCTTTGGGTCTAAGAGAGACCTAGAACTCTCTCTCTTCTATTTTCTTAACCAGCACCTGAACTACACCAAACTAGATTGCCAGGAGTTATTTTAAATTCAAACGTTTTGTGACATTGTTCTAGGGGGGGGGGGGAGACCAAATTTAGAAACAGAGATAAAAGTTATTTTTTTTTAAAAAAAATAAGAAATGTTTTCACGTTATCTTGCTTTCATAGCAAATTCTTTTGCAAGCTATTGCTTAGCTATTATATAGGGTTACTCTTTTTTGGAGTCTGGGGAGATATTTACTTTAGCAAGGTGAAATAGGTCAACACTGACATCTTGTGGGAGAGAAAATGTGGTACAGTATAGCTTCTTTTCCTCTAATAATCAAACAAATGTTTGCATATATTCCTCAACTGTATGAACTATATTAAATCCCATTCCCTAAATGTTTACGTTATGCCGCTAATTATAATTAACTATAGGCTTAGATTCTTTCTTTGCTGGTCTGGTCCTTAATATTGACAGATGGTTTTCAATCCAAGTGATAGTTATCCTTTAGGCTTGCACTACCCAAGCTTAAGTTTATATCATCTTATCTACTCCTACAGAAGTATGATCAGGCAATATTATTTCTAAAGTCATGCATTACGGATATAAAATGAGCCTGACTTAAGTTGATTTCCTAAGCTTCCCTAACCAAAAGCAGATTAACATCTTCTAAGCAGCTTACAAAACCACAGAAGATAATTATAAGAAGTTATATTCAGTTATATTAAAGGGAATATAAGAAAACTTATGGTGCGTATGTTCATATGGAGATGAACAGTTGATTATGTTTCTACACTCTAATTCTATAGATATTAACACGGCTCTTATTTTCTGAATACCAATTCTATCTTTTTTAAAAAAACTTTCCAATGATTTCTCTGTAACATGTAACGTTGCAAGAACACTGATATTTCTACCTTATACTTGTCCAACACCAACAGAAAAATTTGATTGGCTGGGTGGAAATCTAAAAACCAAGCAAATAAACCACAATATCATGCTCAACAACCAGCATTTCCTTTGAACTGAAAGGATCTCATTTGCATAAATTAATGCTATTATCTTGTCCTTGTAAAACAGTAAACTTACTAGGGACTAAGAAAACTGGAATATAACTTAAGCTGCCTATTGGATGGGATTAAAATATACAGTATGTACATTATTCTCATGAGAACTGTTGAAAATGTATTGGATAGAAAAATAGAGAAACATTAACTGAAGTGGCATAATTAGCCAAAAAATGGAATTTACAATACAGGTAATTTGATTTTTTTAAAATTATGTTTAAAAAAAACACTGAAAAGAATGGGAGAGTTGAAAAATCAGACAAAGCTGATAAATACATGGGATTAGTAATTCAGTTTTGTTTAAGTATTTCAAGCTGTATCTAATAGTATCTTCTTCAAATTCCAAAGCAATCAGTGAGTCTGAATAAAAACTTATTTTAACATATATGATTAGCTGTATAGAAGCACACAGACATATACAGTTGAGAATGAAGGCAAAGAAAACATAAGGTGGTGCAGTATATAGATCCATGTGGAGAGGAACAGCATATCTTTTTGCAAGATATTTTTTTCTGAAATAAATTTCAAACAATAAACAAGTTCAATATTCCATTCTGTTTAAATTGTGTTGAAAATAGGGAAATAAAACTAAAAATACAGAAAGGATTATTTCGAAGTGCTATACTATTAGTGAGCATTACCAATGAACATCAGTTGGTGGTTTCTCTTTAATCTTCAGACTGATTTCACACCAATATTTTTAGAGCAAAACATTGTAAACACTATCTTAAGAACATTAATAAACAGAAATATACATTTTTATTCAACAATTTGCAAGCCAGATTAAACCATCTTTGCCAGTTTTGATATCTCTGAATCAGGTTCTTTCTGGATTATGACGTACAACTTCCAAATGATTATTTACATGAGGACAGGACTTTTTGAGTTTTCATTTCGATATGTTCTCTATTTGAATCAAGGCTTCCTTCTCATGGGCTTCAATTTCCTTAAGCAACTGTTCTTTTTCCTTGAAATAATCCCGGAACCATTGAATGTGTTCTATTTTTTGTTTCACACTTAAATAGGGGTTTTTGGAAAGTCCACATGCTACAAGTTCCATGAAGTGGCGAATTGGCCCTTCTTTAGGAAAGTCTGCCAAATGCTTATCCAGAAATATATGTTCATAAAATTCACCGTCATCTTCAAGTCCTGACAAAGTTAAGGAAAGGATACAATCACTGTCAAAAAACTTCCAATTCACAACCTCCCTGAGCAGACTGCAGTACCTTGTCTTACAATTCACAAATTATTCGCAAACATTAATCCCTGTTGTCATCTAAGCCAATATTCCCGTTGATATCTTGAGCTTTAAAAAGCCACTCTGATAATTATTTGTTTTTAGAAATACTGCAATAGTGTTTATAAATTCAATACACTGCTCAGCTGACCATGTGGAATGAAAAGCTTTATGCATCCTCTTGTGCTATCTGGATATCTCAAAAAGACATTTAAATTTTTGAGTCTGCCATTCAACTTACATTCTACTAAAGAGATGTTTAAAAAGTCAAATCGATAAAATTAAAAAAGAGCAGATTATTCGTGTATATTTATCAAATTTATATACCTCAGTACTCATCGTTAATTGGTTCCGGGAGACACTATGAGTACCAAAAACAATGAGTACCAAACCATTTTTTCCCATAAAGAATAATGTAGGGTCACAAGGCAGCCGACACCGACAGGTTCTAGCTTGTGTATTGAGTACCAAATGATGAGTACAGGGACAAAATTTTCGTATCAAAATGTGTTGAGTACTAAATTTGATGAGTTTCAATGCAATTGAGTACCAAGGCACCACTGTACTTGCCCGTCTTGCAGTTCGAGGTGACTCTTGATTGAGGTGTATCTGAGGGGACCTCATACATGTAGGTTTTATCTTTTTCACTTATCAAATGAAATTATGTTCTGTTTTCTTCATTTAGCTATTTGAAGTAGCCCTTAAACTCATTTTGAGGACACAAAGTAAAAGGGATCACTTTGTTTTCCCAGAGACTATCATAAAAAATGATGCTAACTCAAAATTAGTTTCTTTGTTAATTTATTTAAACAAAATAAAATAAAAAACAGCTATGTTTGAAAGCAGCTAAAGGTAAGTCTCAAAAACAATATGCAAATTCTGCAAATGACTTACATATATATAATATAATATAATATAATCATATAATATAATCATATCACATAACATTACATTTTTTCAGCTCCCTCCAAATCCAATTCCCCAAAATCTCCATCCCAAATTTTCACTGAGTGGCAAAACCAAGTGCAGAGTCCTTTCAGGATACTCACCAGCTTCATTGTTAATTGGGAACTCCCAAAGTTTTCCCTCATTTGTCCACTGTATCATCTCCTCAAAACCATTCTGTGGTAGATGTGAAAAGTTTGATGTAATAGCTTTGGCAAATTCCAGATCCCAAATTGTTGGTATTGCTACTGCGTCTAAATTGTCAATGTATTAAAAAAAAAAACACCATCAAGCCAAGTTATCCACAGAAATGCTATTCACTTGAATTGACAAATATATATAGAGAGAGAGGGGGGGGAGGAAGGAAAGGGGGAGGGAGGGAGGGAGAGAGAGAGAGAGAGAGAGAGAGAGAACATCATGGACAATTTTCTTCTGGGGATACAGCTTTTCTATAATTAGCATGTAAATGCGGTCAACTATTTAAAAATGCTTTGGAATAGGTGCTGACAAAATGCCTCTAAGAATATCCTTTCCAAATCCCATTAAAAAACCTAATATGCAATACAAGTAGTCTTCAACTTATGACAACAACTGAGCCAAAAATTTCCATTGCTAACAATTGTTAAGTGAGTTTTGCCCCATTTTACCACTTTTCTTCCCATAGTTGTTAAATGAGTCACTGCAGTTGGTAAATTAGTAACATGGCTGTTAAGCGAAATCCAGCTTCCCCATTGACTTTGCTTATCCGAAGGTCACAAAAGGGGATCACGTGGCCCCTGGACACTGCAGCCGTCATAAATATGAGTCAGCTACCAAATGTCTGAATTTTGATCACTGGTGAGTGGGGATGCTATAATGGCCGTAAGTATGAAAAATGGTCATAAGTTACTTTTTTAGTGATGTAACTTTGAACGGTCACTAAATGAACAGTTGTAAGTCGAGGACTACCGGTATCTGCCTCAAGTTCCTCATTAGTGGGAACCTAGGATGCTGTTTCTGTAGGCTAAACATTGATTAAGATGGTTTGTGGCATGTTTAAGACTATTGCATTGAGCATAGAATGGATGAGTTTCATTACACTCAAATTATCTTCCTGGCATGATTATAGTAATTATTTTGTGACTAACCTGTTTCATGTGCTCCCTTTGATTTAGGAGTGAAAATCTGTAGCCTTTCTCCAGAAAAGAGATTCCTAAAAATAATAATAATAAAAAAATATCCTTTTGGTAGAAGACGTCAAAGGATCCAATATGAATAATTCCAAATTCTCTCCTTAACAGTTTGAAATCTTAAACATACTCCTCTGATCTATTTTCAAACAATCATCGCCCACACATTTTTCAAGCATGTAACAATGAATATATTCATACATTGACATATATACATATATAACTAAATTAAATTTATTTATAAAGATTTATGTGGCCACCCAACTTGCCAAAATGTGACTCTAGGCATCAGGTCCATAAAAGGCATCCCTTCTTTTTGTGCTGGATAGCCACAGCTGAAGAATAATGTTGAATTTAAAAATTCACATATTAGATTTTACAGACTAGTTAAGCCTTAAGCTATTTTATTAAGCCTGATTTTTATGGCATATTAAAAATGTGACAAATCTAATTCACTGTAGCACATCACAATAAAGGGGGGAGGGGAGGTTCATAATGACAAAGAACATGGCATGCTTCAACACAGCCACATTTGATTATCCTTGTACAGGTAGTCCTTGACTTTTTTTTGAGCCAAAATTTCTGTTGTTAAGCAAGGCATTTGTTAAGTGAGTTGTGCCTCATTTTATGACTTTTTGCCAGAGTTGTTAAGTGATTCACTGCAGTCCTTTAGCAAATCTGGCTTCTACCATTGACTTTACTTGTCAGAAGCCAGCTAGGAAGGTTGTAAATGGTGATCACATGACCCTGGGAGAGTACAAGGGTCATAAATACATGTCTGTTGTTGCCAGTGCCTGAATTTTAATCATGTGACCATACGGATGCTGCGTACGTGTGAAAAACAGTAACTTTTTTCAGTGCTATTGTAACTTCAAATAGTCACTAAACGAATAGTGGTAAGTCGAGGACTACCTGTAATGAGTTATAAATTCAGGATTTTAAAGAGATACACGCAGAAACTCATCAAGTAAAGTACCTTTTAATTCTATTGATTTCATTAATATGGGCCATATTGCCATCTTCGTCTTCATCACATTCAATTTCACTGGATGCACTCACAGCTTTTCGTTTCAGAGGTTTTCTTCTAATTTTCATGCTTGCCATAATTTTGCTAAAATTAAAAATATTAGCATATATTAATATTAGGATGTATTGAAGGATGCGTAGTACAGATTTTTTTTGTTCATGTTAGCTATTCTGATGCAATAAAGAAACATAAATGTGAAAATGTAAAGAAAAATTCAATTGGGTGGATGTTCTGAAACCTACTTTTTTTCCCTTCCAACTTCCCCTTTTTTTAAAAAAAATCTATCTGATGTTTCACAAACCAGAAACCTAGCAACAATAGCTATATTTTTTGTATTTGAACTATGGTAATAAGCTAAAGAACGATGCCAAGAATGCTTTTAAAAAAACAAATAAACTCCACCATCTTTACACAATTTACAAAATAATAAAACTTGATCTGCCCTTCTCTGGAAGATCAGCTGGAACAAGGCTACCTTCCCTACTGTCTTAGAATTCAGTAGGAATAGGCACCTATTCCTGGCAATGGTCAGTGGTAATGTCTTCCCAAGCATTAGGGCGATAACGGAAAATGCTCTGTTTAACCGTGTATTGTTTGTAAGAGGTAGATTGAAAAATAAGTGAAGGTGGTTACTGACTCCAGATCACAAAGAATTCTGTAAGTCAATACAAGCACTTTAACTAGATTTGGCTGCTGAAGGTCAGAGAAGTTCTGTTAATGAAGTATGAAGATGCACCTGACTGCTGATCTAGAGCAGGCATGTCAAACTCGCAACGTCTTGCGACCTTTTCCCCATTGCCGGCAATGGGATGGGCGTGGCTTCGGCGTGACACATCCGGCCCGCGGCTCAGCAATTTGACATGCCTGATCTAGAGGACAGGCAAAAGATACTGTTAGCAAAACTTTCAGAGTGTTTCCAAAGGAAGCCCAAGTATCAGTTTTCCAATATACAAACCTATGGATGGTAGAACAGGAACCTGGAAGCATACCTGAAGAGGCGTTCAGTACCTGGCCACCCAGTTTTCTAATAGCAAGCAATTTAACCACATTTCCGGATCAGATTCTTATATTGGATTTTAAATAAATAAGAAAGCAGGGTGGTTTAACCGTAGTCTTCATATTGACTATATGCTCCATCAGCTGACCTAAGGGCTCCATCTGATATTCACAAAGACCCGCTTCAAGATGTTAATAGGTTTACTGGGTTTTAACAACATATTAATGACATCTTATTCCATAAAGCTCAATATATATATTGCCTCTTCCTATAGGTATTAAAAGGCCTTATCAGCACAAGGATCCCCCAAAACACTACATGCCCAACTATTTAACCTTTAACTATTTAAACTTTAGCCTTCCTAACCTGTATCTTTCAGAAACACTGGATCTATTAGTTCCCATACTTTTTAGCCAACTGGTTTTGGAATGCTGGGACTACAGTGCCAAATATCTGGAGAGCACTCACTGAAGATTGCTCTACTTTTTTTAGTTGTTTTGAAGGAGGCTTACTTGTCACATTTTTAAAGAGGTATCAACTGCACTGACTGCAACTTTCCAGCTCAGGCTAGGAGAGCAGCCTGGAGAAGATGAGATTAAAGGAAAGGCTTGTGGCAAACTAAAGTTTTAATTGAAGAAAACACTAATATGCTGATGTTCATCATTGACAAGCAGTATGATGAACAAACCAATTATATTGATTTGGTAAAAACACCAGTTTATTTCATCCACAAAATGGCTAGCTCTGATTTTTTTTCCTTCAAAATCACTCTTAATAGAAAGAGCAAGCACTCTAGAATGTATTCTTTTTTTCCTCTAAACAACATATTACTATTGTCACTGTATTTTCTGTGATCCATCTGAGCTAAAATTAAACAAGATCTCTATTAGGCTTTTTCATGAATTATTATGTCAGAGTACAGTGGGATCGAGAAAGAAAATGTTGTTGTGAACATATACAAAATTAGGGTCTGAATGCCACCCTTTGAATATCAATCTTAGTTTAAAGATCTGGGATATTGAAGGTGTATCTTAGTTCTAAATGTTATTTATAATAAAGTTTAAACCTTTAATGTATTTGTGAAATTATGCCGTAATTTCCACTGAGAATACTCATTCCACCGTCATATTCTGTATTGTTATAATTTCCATTCAGCAAATATTCAGTCTTTCCTATGTTTACAAACCAAACTAATAGTGAAGATTTTGTAAAGCAGTGACACCCATAGGTTATCTTATATCACTGCAAAGAGAGAAAAGCTTAGACATAATTTACTAGCAGAAATCCAAGACTATATTCAATTACACAGGGATACATTTATTCATTTCTTATTGAGAAAAATAAATTATTTTCTGAAAGTAAAGTGAAGTATTTTGTTTTATATGCTAGGTATTTAAATCAGAATATATATTAACCTAACTACTGTTTGATTCAATAAGGGATTATTTAAATGAAACACAATATAAGTTTCTATTAATGGGTAAATATTAAACTGAAGACCTAAATGTCTGGTAAGGATGTGCAAATTTATAAGTCCAAAAACAGACCATTCCAGAAAACTGGGATGCTTCATTTCCCTCTGGCTCCACTAAACTTCTCCAAACTGAACTAGTTCAGCATTTTCTTGTCTCTAAATAAGAAGCTTGAATTGTCCTGGATATAATGTTCCAGAAATTACAGACCTATTCTGGTGCTGAAACATCCCTGGAATACCTCAAATCACTTCAGGTTTTGAGGATTTATGTCTGGAAAGTGCTGCAGTGCCCTCCCTATCTTCCCCCCAAAACAGCAGGATCTGAGGAAAAAAAATCTGACATGACGGAGAGAACCAGAACATTCTCCATAACAGTCAATTCCCAGATCAATGGATTTTACACACCTCTAGTATTCAAGAGAGGAATCTTGAGGAATCTTTGTTAAAGCAGCCGTATGCCATTATTATGCAGCTTTCTGCAGTCTAGCATAGTGGTTACCGTGCTGTACTGTAAATCAGGAGACAAGGAGTTCAAGTCTTCCCTTAAGCATGAAAGCCAATCAGGATTGTTGTGGGGAAAATAGGAGGCAGAACCATTATTTACACTACCTTGAATTTTACATGAACATGAACAGGCTAGAAATTTAATAATAAAATATTTTAATCAATGTCATTGGAAAGCTAAAAAACGTAAACAGTAGATACTGCCATCCATACATTACTTGTACATTGTATTTTTTATAATCTTTAATTGTGTATTTCAAAAAAAAATTAAGCAGATTAGTTTATAGGCTGAATTCGATTTCTAATACTGCACATTTTGATATATCAGGGCTCTATGGGCTAGGCCAGGCAATGTACTGTCATTTTAGTACTGCTCTTGGAATATTGTGAACGTTGGTTACCCTTAACAAAAGATAATTAAAGGTCATAATAATTTCACAGATCACTATATTTCTGTTTGCCATTTATAAATGGATCCATTTACACAGATCCATTTACTTCACTGCAATAATTTGAAACAGGCAATAGGTACGATAGTCCTTGACTTACAACAGTTTGTTCAGGGTCACTGTAATTAAACAGTTTGTTTAGCTACAATGGCACTGAAAAAAAGTGACTGATGACTATCTTGCACACTTGACTGTGCCAGCATCCCCGTGGTTCACGTGATCAAATTTCAGACATCTGGCAACAGACTCATAATTATGACCGTTGCAGTGTTCCAAGGTCATATCATCAACTTTTTGCGACTTTCTGACAAGCAAACTCAATGCAGAAGCCAGATTCACTTAACAACCAAGTTACTAACTGCACTGATTCACTTAACAACTGTGACAAGAAAGGTCATTAAATGGAGCAAAATTCACTTAACAGCTGCCTCGCTTAGCAACAGAAATTTTGGGCTAAATTGTGGTCGTTAAATCAAGGACTACCTGTATTAGAGTCATGCATTCCTGTTATGACTTTTCTGAAGATCAGAAACAAACATGGAAGACAACAATTGTGAGCCCAGGAAGCAGGACAGCAGCTGTAAAGAGTTGCTGTATTTGTCCTGCATGTGCTCCAAAGCACCTTTTGGAGACTGAATCTGAAGTGCTGAACAGCCCAAATATTTTTCTCCTTCAGGCTGACTGTAATTTGGTTTTACGTAAGTTGTTCTGCAAGAAGCTGGCTAATAGATGGTTCTGCTGAGCTGGCACTTTGATTCAGCAGGTTTAGTATAAATGCATTTTATAAACGTCACTAATTAATCTCTCGGTTAAGCTTGGTAACCCCAAAACCAGTTCTAGCCAGTATTGAGAAAAAAAAGTCTGAAATATACTACTGCAAATATTTCAGTACCATTTGTTGCTGCATATTTGATTTCACACTCTTTTGTGAAACTTACTCAAGGAGAGAGAAGCAGAAAAATGAGAAATTACAGCAATGTGCTGTACATCATCAACTTCAAAGAAATAATGGAAATGAAGAGATTGGTTAAGACTGCTTTAAATCTTGCGACTCCAAATCAAAATCTTTTGCTTTATTTTTAAAATAAAGCAAAAGAAGACAAATAAAAGCAATTATTATTATTTGTCTCATTTCAATGTGACAAGCACATTATGGGAACAGAATTATAGCTACAAACCTTAGGTCAGCCATTCTATGTGCATTCATTTCTTCCTTGTGCTTTTTTACCAAATGCAACAGTTCAGAAGTTGTCTTTTGTTTATCGAAAGGGAGTGAAGATGCAACAGCAGAGGCTGCTTCCTCCAATTCTGGAATATGTTGGCTGCTGAAAAAAGAAATCCAAAATATAAAATGCTCATTTTATATTCTTTGTTGCCCATATTTTGCTAACCTTCTGAAAACAGACAGAAAATTAATAATGAGCAAATGAAGAATGAATGAAGAAATCATCATCCAATATTTTCAGATGGTCACACTGTACTAGCAATGTACAACAAACAGATAACTTCAAGGACCTTTCTCTCCCTTATTCTTCCCAAGTTAACTTGTGACACCCCTTCAAATAGAGAACTGCTCTCTGTAAAGCAGGACATATGTCCACTCGATTCCTTATTAGTTATGGAAAGGATTTTCTAGGCTTTGATATTTATATTGAAAAATAGCTTCATAAATGTAATAATCTAGTCATGGTTAAATTATACCAATTGCATAATGCAGTATTAGACAACTTTAACATTTCACTTATTGTTTTTTCAGGTGATAACCCCTGGCAGATATTTTAAATTATTCACTCTTTTTATCAGAACATTTTGCATTTCAAACTGGTCATTTTCCTATTCAAATTACCTTAATTTGCATAGGAAATTTTCCAATTCCTTTTTTTCCCTTGGGAAATTTGAATCACTATTAATATGACAAAATCTTTGTTCTCAGGAAAGTTTATTCTGAAAAATGAAATGAAAGCCAAATATATGTTTTTTTAAAAAATATATTTAGACCAGTCATCTTATAATTGATCAACATCAGGCAGGCTCCAGATAACATATTTCTAAAACTGCAAGGTACTAGCACAAACAGGATATAACAAGTATTCTGGTTATCTTCATATTTTCATTTTTAAGGGGAAAAAACCCTTACCCATTGGTACACAAAGATCTATCAGTAACGTTTACATGTATCTTTGCATATCCTGCGTAAACCCAAAATAGTCAAAGCCACTGTACTCCATATATTGCTATACTCTAGTTCTCATCAATTGCACATCAACATCGGGAGACTTCAGGACTCCAGATGTTATCCAGAAAACCGAAGGAGTTTTAATCTACTTTCTTCAATCTGTATAATATTTTAACATCCTAGTCTCTCTCATATGCGGCAGACAGAATTCTTTCTGTCTAGTTAGCCGACCAAAATTCTCTAATAGATGATCTGTGATTCACAATGAAAAGGCAGAAGTCAGGACACCAGAACAAGCAGGCAGGAAGACTAGATAATGCTTAGAATGAAAAGAAAACGAAGAGTGACGTGAGAAAACAGTAAAAATCTGGGATTGTTGGGGAGCCCATATAAGGCTTTAGCTGTGGTACTGCAGAACTGGGTTAATAAATTGCTAAAGCCAACAGAAACAGCAGCAGGTATCCTGGTAAAGAGCCAGTGTGATTTAGTGATGAAGGCACCAGGCTAGCCACCAGGAGACTGTGGGTTCTAGTCCTACCTTAACATGAAAACCATCTGGGTAACCTCGAGCCAAGTCATTCTCTCTCAGCCCAACCCACCTCACAGGGTTATTGTTTTGGGAAAGATAGGAGGAAGGAATATTAATTATGTTCACTGCATTTAGTCATTTGTAAAAATAATAAAGATGGGATACAAATAAATAAACATAAAATAAATAAATGGGACTGTCTAGCTCAGAGGTAGGCAACCGTGGCTCTTTTAGGACTCTTGGACTTCAACTCCTAGAATTCCTGAGCCAGCCATGCTGGCTCAGGAATTCTGGGACTTGAAGTCCATGAGTCCTAAAAGAGCCAAGGTTGCCTATCCCTGGTCTAGCTCCTGGAAACTGGTTTGTTTTTTTCTTTGTTCCTTGCCACCACAATTTGGCAGAAAAATTTAAGGAGAGAACTCTTGGGGTCACACCCAGAGCCCACAGGTTTTGAATCCTTCACTGAGAATGATTCCACACAAAATTCTGCAGAATTTTTCCTTCTTTTCACAACACAGTGAGTAAATCTGGTCATTTCTGAATCAGACAGAACACATATCAGATGTTCCTCTGGCTCTTTATTATTTTCCTTTTAAATACACTTATTTATTTACCCTTTTTGGTAAGTAAGTTTCAAACAACTACAGGATTTTTAGACAAACAGCATGAAAGTGTACTCCCATAACTTTACCTTTTTTCATCATCTTCCAGCAATCTGCTTTTGGCATTCTCCATAACCTTTTTCTTTGTACTTAGTTCTATTTTCATTCCATGGATTAACTGCAGCAAATTTTTCTTTTTTTGTACTTGTGTTTTCTGCTCCTGATCTGGTGAAATATTTGCATTGGTGCTGCTGATTTGGTCATCTTCCTTAGTGCAGATGACAGGGGTTGTGCTGAAGAATTTGTGTGCTTTACTAGGAAATATGTAGAAAGCACAAACTAATGATACAAACTGATTTTTAAAATTTTTACAACTTAAAGTCTCATAACAAGAGATCATTATCACAAAATCAGTTAAAATACAAATTACAATCACAATACAAATAATAACAATAATGAAATACATACAGCAGCCAAGAAAATGAGATAATCCATAGATGTTAATATAACCAGGAAATGGACTCCTTCACATACTCGGGATTTCAAGCCAGAGCACATAACTAGGCTTTCAAGGCCTTACAAGTAAATATTTTTCTGGAGAAGAACCATATCTTCTGCCAATAGTATACTGATTTTGAGCAAAAACAAACAGATTGCACATAAAAATTGATTAGAAACAATCTTGTAAGGATTCGGGTTTACAGAATGGGTGCTATCAGATGAGAAAATCCCAAAGATGACACCAGAGATGGAAGAGAGAGTGTGTGTGTGTGTTAGAGAGAGCGAGAGAGAAGCAATGGATGGAAACTAATCAAGGAGAGAAGTAACCTAGAACTAAGGAGACATTTCCTAACAATTAGAACAATTAATTAATGAAAGAATTTGCCTCCAGAAGTTATGGGTGCTCCAACACTGGAAGTTTTTAAAAAGAGATTGTCTGAAAAGGTATAGGATTTCCAGCCTGAGCAGGGGGTTGGCCTACCTCAGAGGTAGGCAACCTTGGCTCTTTTATGACTCGTGGACTTCAACTCCCAGAATTCTGCTGGCTCAGGAATTCTGGGAGTTGAAGTCCACAAGTCATAAAAAAGCCAAGGTTGCCTAGCCCTAGAAGACATCCAAGGTCCCTTCCAACTCTGTAATTCTGTTATTGTAATCATGCATAAAACTACTGTTGCTGAATCAATTCCCGTGTTCACACAGTGCATTAACACTATTCTGATTTACTGAATTAGTCAAATGTGTAGCAACCACAACCAAATCTAGTGTTTTTCGTGAACTTAATCCAAAACTTTCTGAACGAGCTGAAATTAATATAAACCAGGCTTCTTATCACTCTCTCAAGTCTAAAACCTACTGCCTGCGCATGATTCTTCACCAACGTTTGGAAAAAAAAAATGATGCAGAGAAGGGGCAAACATCTGAAAGGAGACTATTATTTGCCTTTGAAACAGGGCATCAAACACCAAGCCACCTTCTCTCCAAGTACCTGCACAAAGCCACAACCACGTCCTCTCTTGGAGTACCGAAGCGAACCAGAGCATAAAACCTCCCGGGGACCCTGACGCTTCTCCGCCACATTATCCTCGAAGCAGCAAGGAGTCACGCACAAGCTTTCTGTACCACAAAGTACTTCCGCCACAAGCTTCCAATAAGCTTCCGCCAGTCCGACCGGAACGCAAGCCCTCGAATGTTGGTTCCGCAGCCAGATAACCTTAGACAGGGAAACCATCGCGGTCGTTTGGATATGGTCGTTTCTCTTTCTAAACAGGAGGGACAGGAACGCCGCCGTTTAAATATTTATTGTATACGTGCTAATATTCAGAGGGTGGGAAATTATGGTTTCCATATCATATTGGTAAGACTCGCCTAACACCCTAAGTCCCAAACCGAACGAGCTACATGCCCTACGTGTAGAGCGAGGTGGCAATCAAGTCTATATGCTGCATGCAAAAGGGGTAGATCCAAGAAGGGAATGGTAGCCCCTCAACTACCAACGCCTAAAAGGCAAATTGAGGGGTCCTTGGTGCTATCTGAGCTTGGTTGTTTTCTTGCAGACGTTTCATTACTAGAGAACAACATCTAGTATTTCATCTGGTGTCGGTGCCAGCTTGCTTTTTTTTTCTGTTTTTAAATAATGCATCACTTGATTGTCTACTGCTAGCACTGGTGAGATTACCTAGTTTCATTGGGTAATGAAACATCTGCAAGAAAACAAGCAACCTCAGAGAGCACCAAGGATCCCTCGTGTCAACCCTGAGCTAAATATTCTCCTTTAAAAGGTAAATTGCAAAACATCCCAGAGACTCGCGATCCCCTCGCTCCCTCTAAGGCTGCCAAGATCACCTGGCCAGCCTTCGGGGCGGGCTTTGGGGGCGGCAGCAGCAGCACCATCACCGCCTCCAGTTCCGCTTCCCAGGCCGAGCTCCAGATCCTCCTCCTGTCGTTTCCCCAACCAGGCTCGTGGCGGGTGGGCGCCCCTTCCAACGCAGGTATATAGCGCTCGCGGCGAGGAGAGCGAGCCGAGCCGTTCTGGAGAGGCAATGCAGCTGAGGCAGCCGAAGAGAAGCGCAAGGCTTTCGGTGGCAACTCCAGCGGAGAGAAGTAGCCGATTTCAGCGGACACCCACCTGGGACACTGTCCATCCCTCCCTCGGGAACTGCCCTCTTCGGTCTGCAGGGATCGGCCGGTGCGAAGTCCTGTTTTCTTGGCGCTGTTTGGGGGGTGTTCTTCGTTGGTCTAGTCTTTCATCTCGTGTCGGTGCCGGCTTCCCCCCCCATTTTTAAATAATGCATCACTTGATCTTCTGTGGGAGACGCAAGCTATCACTGCTTTTACATTCGGAGAGATGGATGTAGCTTCTGCCTGCAGATCTTTAAAACAGCTGAGTCCCTTCCCTGGATCAGCTGGCCCACAAGTCCCAAAAGATCCAAGATGCAGCTGCTTTAAAAAGTTGTAGACTGATGCTATGTTCATGCTCTTGTCTTTGCTAAAGCAGATTTTTGGAATAGAACCTAAAGCATTCCCCAGCCCTGATTTAGATATATACAAATGGAACATGAACATGGCATATGAATTAACTATATGCCTAAATATATATATCCTGCCCTTATGATTTGTATCCTGTCCTTATTACTGTATAAGTAACTCAAGGCTGCAAACACACATAATGCTCCTCTTTTTTCCCCACAACAATCCTGTAAGGTGGGCTGGGCTGAGAGAGATTGATTGATCTAAAGTCATCTAGCTGGCTTTCATGCCTAAAGCAGGACTAGAAGTCACAATCTTCTGGTGGTGTCTAGGCCAGCACCGTCATCACTATACCGAATTGACTCTCTAAGCATACAAGTGTACACTTTGTTTATAGACATGATCTGCATATACCCACCCATCCTAATGGTATACAGTAATTAATACATTTTTGGTTGTGGCAATGGCTCCTCCTAAAGGTTGTTGATAATAGAAATATATTTCCAAGTAATTTAAATATGCCTTTTTAATTTATGTGATCAGTTGTGTTATTAATATTGATTATTGTGCTTTGGCTGTTGCTAGCTGTGTTGAAAAATGTTGCAAGAAGGATATTATTGCTTGAAACAAATAAACCTGAATGTATTTTCCTGAGAAATTGAAAAAGAAAACTATACATTTTGCCAATACATATAGTCCTTAACTTATGACTACAGTTGAGCTCAACATTTCTATTGCTACAGTTAAGTGAGTTGTGCCATTTTACAACCTTTGACAAATTAATCACTGCAGTTGTTAAGTGTGTAGTGTGGTCCTTAAGCAAATCTGGCTTCCCCCATTGACACTGCATGTCTGAAGCCACTTAGGAAGATTGCAAATGGTGATCACATGATCCTGGGACAGTGTAACTGTCATAAATACATGCCAGTTGCCAAGTGCCCAAATTTTGTTCACGTGACCATGGGGATGCTACAATGGTCACAAGTATGAAAACCAGTCATAAGTCACTTTTTTCAGTGCTGTTGTAACTTCAAATGGTCACTTAGTGAAAGATTGTAAGTCAAGGACTACCTGTAATATATTAACTTTGAGCTATGTAAATTGTTAAGTAAGTGACTATTAAGGCAGGACATAAAGCAGGACTTAAGTCATAAAACAGGACATGAGTCTTAAATGCGTGTATTAGTTAGAAGGAGAACAAAAGGAAATGAAAGATGTCAAACCACAAGTTCATTTGTTGGTTGCACAAAAGTGTTAAGTTTGAAGCTCTGCTGCAGCTAACCACAAGTAGGTTACTGGAAATTTAGACATTTAGACGCTGTAAGAAACTTAAGCAGTTTAGGTAAAGTTACCTCCCCCCCCAATTGAGAGAGGGGGGCAAGATATGTTAGCTATGGATATGTTAGCTATGGGGTGGGGGCTATAAGGATGCTGTAAGGGGGCTGTGTTTCAAAGCAACCAATCCATGCTATCAGTTACATTTCCGTGTTTTGCTGTTTCTGACGAGAATATATAAACTTGTGTTTTTTTATATGAAGCTGTTGAGATGTGGCTACAAATATAGCGCTCTGAACCTTTGCACAAAATAAACCAAACTTCTTTTTATTCCGTGGTCTGAGTCCTGTGATTTTCTGCAATACTATGATCAAGGCTTTCCCAAGACATTCCTTTGCAATGGGTAATTTTAATTTACTGTAAAATTATCCTAAAGATTAACTTGTTACAACTAAGAAAACTTCAGCTTCCTAAAGAAAGAGGATGTGGAAAAAAAAACTAGATAAGAAGTTGGTTTAACTTTATAGGGGAGATGGGCAGCACAAAAACATAATACATAAATAAAAATAAATAAACCTGATAGTATGTGAGTTGTCCATGTACTTTTTTCCCCCACAAGATATTCAGAAGTGTGGTGTGCGTGTGTGTTTTGCCATTCTTGACTTCTGGCAAGTGCCCTGCAGATTTTTGACAATATTTTCTAAATGGTTTGCCAATGGTTTTTTACTAGAACTGAGAGAGAGATTGGTCTATAGCTCAAAACTGAAATAAAGGAGTCAAAAGAAAATAATATATCCATTATAGCATTACATTGTGATGCCTTAAATAGAAAATTTCTCAGACTTGATGATCACCAGTTTTATATATTGTATAATAGATTTAGTAATACAAAGGTAAAATGTTTAAATAGATGTATAATATTTAATTATTTTTGTTTTGTTGGCTGGCTGAGATTGGCAAAATTCTGATCCGTCTATAGGTGTTATTGGTAGGTAGATGACTATTTTTTGTTGTTGTTAGGATGCCAAGTTTTTCTATAGGTGGAAGAGGGAAAGTGTGGATATAAAGATAAATGTTTTCCACTGATACCTCTCCATTAAAGTTATTATTGTTGTTATTGATTGCCATCAATTGTCTGCTACCATCCTGAAAGACACAATTTTAATAAGCTAGTGATGGGATTCTTGTATTTAGTATTTATATATTAATGTTTAATTGTATAATCATTACAATTATTGTAACTATTCTTGCAGTTTAGACTGCTTACAATAAATACAGTAACTCATCTATAAAATATTCATAAATACAATAGTAGCCTGTTAAAATCACTGAACGTTATTAGTAATTTTTTTAAATTAATGTTTTTAAATTTAAATTTTTGAAATTATTTTTTAAAAATTTAAATTGTTAAAAATTTGCAATCAAAATTGTTGTTGCTCATGGACAGATTTTTATATCTGAAAGGTCTCTTGGAAAGGACTTCTCTTTCTTTTTTACATCAGTACCAGCACATCTGACCTTGTCAAGCTGTTCTAAAGAGGCCTGCTACTAAGAATACCTTAAGCCCTGTTAGTGGATATAATCCTTTATCACCTGATTTTTTTTTTACAGGATGAGACTCCTTGTAGGGCAAACAGAGTCTATATAAGAAGCTGATCCTAAAGGCAACATGTTTCCAAGCCATATGGGGCTGACTAGATAATCCCAGCACTTCTTGTTGAGCCATAAACTTACTGGCAAACAATGTAGCTCCTATAGTATCAGTGTTGCTCTGTAAAACTGATTGGTACCAATCAGCAAGTAAGTTGTGTCATTCTCTGCCTTCGGAGTTATTTTCGAGGACAGCTCCAAGTAGTTGATAGAGACAAGAGTGTGACTCACTGTCTTCAGCACCTTCTGGATTTTGCAGTTATTTTAAAATAAATCATTCCTCAACCGGATACATAATGGAAAAGAAATCACAATGCGTCTCCTGAAATCTATATATTAAAGATTTTAAAAGAATGCATTGGAACAGACTTCAGCTATCTGACAATTCCTTAGCTGTACTAAGCCTGCATATCTTTACAGCAAGAGAGAGTGCTAGAATTGGGCAGAATTCAATAGAGTTTGAGGAAATATGAACAGGAAATAGTAAGATGCTTGGGCTGGAGAGTGTGGTGATACTTTGCAATATGGCTTTATTCTGCCTGATGCTTTTATTGGGAGCTAACTTCCTGTGAAAATCACTGAAATTGTTCAGAACTGAAGCATAGTTCTGGAATCATTGTACTTAGATCCTAACGAGAAACTCTTGCCTGCACTTTCTTTTTGCTAACTTTTTATTTTAAAAGTTTGTATTCCCATGACATTTCCACATGGTTTGGATGAGAAATCCAATCCCAATAATTTATATATTGGAATAACTTTTAGATAAATAACCAAAACACCCGAACAGCTTAGTATATATTTAAATGCAACATAGCGCTCAGCGTGACACATTTACTTGCTGTCAGACTAACATTGTAATTTCCCTCTCTCTCCAAATCTAATTTAGAGATACCCATCCCAACTCCCTGTGTGCTACAGGAAACTTTGTGATTTAGAGTCACCACAAAGCAAATAAAAAATATGAAAACAAATCCTGTCATCCAAGCTGCCATTGACCTCACAGCTGGGGCTGTAGGTAAGTCTTAGGAAGTGCTGTTTACATAAATCCTGTTAAAAACTGATAGCAGATGCTTTTATGCTCTTTAAACAAAGCTCTTCTCTGAAGGTATAAGGCAATTCTGTTGACACAGTGTGAATCCTAAAAGTGGCTTTTATAGTGGAGGGCACTAAAGGGGAATAATGTTTTGACCTTATCCTGAATTATGATCTTCCCATGAATTGCTTCCCTTCATCTAACCCCTTCCTATGGAGGAAAAGTAAATGTGTAAGCACTTTTTGTCTAATAATTTCCCAACTACAGCTTTTAATTTATTGAGCCCTTATTTCATGCTTACACAAGCATTTCAAAATATGTCACAAGAAAAGGTTGAGCAAAGACCGATTGGAGAGACAAGATAATCTTTGTTTTGTGTTGCATTCTTTGGTATATTTAAGTAGTGTGCTGGTTAGTCAACTGCCTTTTATTTGTTTGCTTTCAGGAATGCAGCAGTGTAGATGGCAGCTATTGGTATTTCTCTATAGTGTCAGCTGTTACCCAAGTGAAAAGTGAAGACTGCCTATCAACCACAGACATAGAACAAGGCCTATCTTGGTTTGGAGCATAAGGCTCTCCTTGGTAGGGGGGCTTTCTCCCTCCGAGGCCAAGCAGTTGCTCATGGGAAGCCTATAAGCTAGAGAGACACACGAAACACATAATACTTTAAAGTGAAAACCAGCTGTTTGTGTACACTAGAGGAAAGTTTCAGATGTACTCTTGAGACTCCTTTCCTTCTGACGAGACCTGCAGAGAAAATGCTGCTGATATCAGAAGCCCCCAGAATGGGTTCTGATGCAGAACTGTTGCATTTTTTCTTCTTCTAGGTCTGATCTGGGTGTGTCAGTGAGGCCAGTCTGAAATTAGTGGAGCTTAATAGCCAGTGTGCTGCCTGGGGAATTCTGGAAGTTGAAGTCTACACATCTTAGGGTTGACCAAGTTAAGAAATACTACCCTAATGTATTTCTGGACAAAGATCCAGAAGTGGAATCTATAAGAAGCTGGTATCAGTATGAAAGAGAAGTTTGCAGGCATCATTTAGCTGCTTGCTCGTTCTGTTCTTTAAGAAGAAGGGAGGAAAAGGAGGAGCTACAAATGCCCACATCTGCACTAGACCTAGCCCAGGGGTAGGCAACCTTGGCTCTTTTATGACTCGTGGACTTCAACTCCCAGAATTCCTGAGCCAGCCATGCTGAGGGGAAAGGGAGAGGTTTCCAAGCTGAGCCATGCTGGCTCAGGAATTCTGGGAGTTGAAGTCCACGAGTGATAAAAGAGCCAAGGTTGCCTACCCCTGGCCTAGCCTCATCCAAGACAGAGCCAAGTTTGTACCTTGCTTGAATTTCTTAATTCAGCGTAGTGGTCACCACCATGAAAGAATAGGGTCTTTTCTATATTTGCATTAAGTTGTTAAAAATGGTTGCAAAGAGCACAAAATAATTAATTTCAGCTGTAAAATGTGTGTTCTTGGATGCAAAGAATTGCTTTTTATAGTTCAAAGCATTTCACTTAGAAAAGCCTCCAGACTGACCTTCTTTGGTTCTTTGGTTTTGGAGGAGAATGATGAAAAGATAACTTTTTGCTCCCAAATGTTTCTTCTGTAGGTCCTTGGTGCTCTCTGAGTTTCACTGTTTTCTTGCAGATGTTTCATTTCCCAACTAGGTAACATCATAAATGTTTCTTCTGTTCAGGGTAGCAGGCTTTCACAGGAGAAGTCACTCTCTTTTCTTTTCTTTTCTTTCTTTTTTCTTTTCACCATCTTAAGCTCCTCAGTGCCACTCCTGAACATTACCCAGCTTTTTTTAAAAAAAAAAATATCTGAGAAATATTGTGCCTCTCTTCTACATCTTAGAACATTGATCACTGAGCACTTCCAAGTTAGGAGAACATTAGCTGTCTTCTGTGTTTTCTTCAGCAGCAAAAAAAGTTTGTGTTGGGATTCCTACTGTTATATGTTGTGAACACGTGGAAATCCCATAATTCTTTCAGGCAACTTAATCTTAGAGCAAGCATCAGCAGCTGTTCCACTTTTTTATGATGGTACTGATGAGATTAGATTTAGATCACAGTTCTTTTTCATGCTGAGTGAGTCATTGAACTTTGGTTTCCTAAATCTGAGTCATAGCCACAGATGCCCTCTGTGCTACTTTTCTAAACTGAGGTACTCCGTATATCACGACTCCTAGAATTTCTCACCAGCATGCCAAAAGCTGCATTGGCTGAGAAATTTTAAATTGTTATTCTAAAATAGCTAGGCGCAAACAAATTACAGAAAGCTTGTACTACACCAGAGTTCCCCAACCTTTGCGGACTGGTGGTGGGGAGGGGGAAAGGAGATGGTTCTGTGCATGCGGCTGGCAAGCACGCACATGCGCAGCTCCATTTGCATGAGCAGTGGGCACACTGCTCGCCCAAATGGAACACACATGCTCACCCACTGCTCACATAAGTGGGGATGCGCATGTGCTTGCTCACTGTTTCTGCGGCCCAGTTTTGAATGGCTCACAACCCAATAGTGGGCTGCAGCCTGGGGGATGGGGACTCCTGTACTACACTGATTCAGCTTATGATATTTGTGGGTACTCTACAGTGAGATTCACAGTCTGAGACTGATAGAAACTTCATTCAAGTCCCAACCAAGGACCTAAGAATGATTATACTAATATCTAAAAATATAAGCAGTTCCAACCAGTTTCTAATTTTGTAAAATTAGGGTGTTCGGGTCTAATGAATTCAATATTTCCAGATACCAAGGATTCCTTTAGGTTATGCTCCAAAGGCCCCAATCAAAATTGGTATAACAACAGATTTTTTTTTCCATCAGTGTTCAGCTTTGATCTGCAAGTTCTGATATTTCATAATTTTTTCCAATTGTTTTTCCTCAGTCATAGCATCATCCAAAATAGCAACATAAATGAATCAGACTTTCTTCTTTTCAATAAATGTTATATCAGGCATGTTATTAACAAGATGCTTGTCTGTTTGGTTCTTAAAAGTCCCATAAAATGTTAACCTACTCATTTTCCAAAACTTTCTCAACTTGATGGTCCCAAATTCAAATCCAAACCTCTGGCAATGTTTCCAATGACTGTTTCTGGTAGTTTGTGAAATTTATGAAGTGGTCAATTGTGTCAGCCTTTTTACTACAAAGGCAATATTTGCCATCATTTGTAACATGTTAAATATTCGCCTTCACGCAACTAGTTGGCAAAGTTTGTTCTTGAGCTACTAAAATAAAGCCTTCAGTTTCTTTCTTTAACACTCCTGATCTTAACCAACTCCATGTGGGTTTTTTTTAATCAGCTTTTCCTTCTATATCTTTCATGCATTGACTTGTTTTTTCAATTAATGTCAGTTTCCAGTTGTTTCTTTTCTATACTCAGCCTTCACTTTTGCAGTTTTCAAGAGCTATCCTTGATTGAGTGCCTTCAGCAAGGATTCTTGGCTTTTCTTAATGTAGCTATTCAGACCATGCTTTTTTTCTCCATAGTTTGTTTCACCTTTAGAAGTCCTCTAGCTTCTTCAATTCTTGGCAAATAGAGCCAATCAATATCACGTTTTGGGTACAAAGCATGGTCCAGTGTCATTGGTTTTCTTGTCTTCCAATTCATTAGTATTATTATTTTGTGCAGTTCAAGAGAGCGTACATAATGCTCTCACTTCCTATTTTCCCCAAAAGCACCACTCTGTAAGGTTTTAATGTCCCTTATTTGAAAAAAAATAATAATTGGGATAGTATGATTTTAATACATCAACTCCATCCAGTCACCTGACTATACCTTAAATTAAGGGATTATAAGGTCATAAAAAGAGAGAGCATGATTTTAATACATATTATTCTTTATTTTGAAAGAGGGAAGGGGTGACCGAAATGAAACATAATCCAAATCTCAGAAAATATGTTCTTGCCTTCAGATTCATAAGACTTGGCTTATTGAATATTTTTTAAGATAGCTTTAGCACCATATGAAATTGCCAAATGATGCCCTGTCAGAAAAGTTGATAACTCCTAGAGCAAAGCACATATTCTTGTTGTCCCTAGCTTCAAGCTTAAATTATTCAATGAGCCTGAAGATGACGAATGGGACTTCATCGAAACGTCGCCAAGACACTTCCAATTTGACGCGGGAGAAAACCTGAATAACCAAAGACCTACACACACACACACACACACACACACACACACACACACACACACACATATATATATATATATATATATATATATATATATATATATATAGAGAGAGAGAGAGAGAGAGAGAGAGAGAGAGAGGAGGTAGATTAGATAGATCAGTGGTTCTCAACCTTTTTAATGCCGTGACCCCCAACCAGTCGTAAGTCGAGGACTACTCAACTGGTGCAGCACCATTTGCAGAATGGAACTTTTGGTGGGCTCAGCAGGGCAGAGACAGCCTGGACAATTCCTATTGGCTTTTGAAAGCCAATAGAATTAGACTCTATTCAAGAGAATCTATTCGATTGGCTTTCAAAAGCCAATAGAATAAAAGGGAGTAGCACAGCTAAGGAAAAGGGGGAAAAAATAGCGGACTGTGTTGTTTGGCGACCCCCATGAAATGGTCGTTCGACTCCAAATGGGGTCCCGACCCACATGTTGAGAACCACTGAGATAGATAGATAGATAGATAGATAGATAGACAGACAGACAGACAGACAGACAGACAGACAGACAGACAGACATGTATATATACACATATATAAAGCTTTCTTCTTCCCATATTTGGGCCAACCGGGTGCATCATAGAAAACACTTAAGATACACACATATATATAAAATAAAAATGTATATGTGCCTTTTTTGTCAAGGATAATTTTGTTCCTCCAGTTCACCTCCTTTTGTTTGAGAATGTCACATAATTGCAAAAAGAAAAAAACAAAACCCAGCCACCCAACAACTCCCATTTCTAATGTTTTTCCTTTCCTTTCTCATGTAGGAGGTACTGCCTGTGTGATAACCGGTCAACCATTTGACACCGCAAAGGTGAAAATGCAGACATTTCCCACCATGTACCAAGGGCTTATGGACTGTTGTGTGAAAACCTATAAGCAAATAGGGTTCCGCGGCTTCTACAAGGGGACCACCCCTGCACTTGTGGCAAACATTGCTGAAAATGCCGTGCTCTTTATGTGTTATGGCTTTTGCCAAAATATTGTGAGGAAAATTGCTGGCCTAGACAGGAAAGCAAAGCTGAGGTTAGTGTATTATTCTCTCAACCGCTCTGCAACTGATAGAAGGGTTTTTTTTTTTTAAAGTATCACAGTTCAGAAGTAGAAGTGCAGTTCCCACACCAGAAAATGGGATCCTGTTGAAATAGAAACACTGCTCCTTGATTCACACGTTTTTTTCTTTTAATTACATCTTGATTCTCCTCTGCATTTCTGGTACTTAGGACAAATGACAGTGGTTTAAAACAAAAATAGCCGTGGATGAAATCCTTAAGTTTTGATTAATTGAGCCATAAGCTTTCTCCAAATAATTCACTTAATTAGGTAATGCGTCAGACAGTATTCTAGGCAACCCAGCCTACTACTACGGCTTTCTCAGTGAGATTGTTTTAAAGAAGAGTCTGCAAGAACTACTTATTTTGTCACATAGAAGAAACTCTGAAAATCTTTTCCTTGCCTTCTTATTCCTGAAGCAATGGCAAGAAAACTTGCTGTTTGTAATGTGGCACTTTCTATCCTTACTTTACCTTCTGGGAGTTGAAGTCCACATGCCTTAAAATTGTCAAGTTTGGGAAACACTGCCTTAAACCAAGGATGGGAAGCTCACGGGCTGCACGTGGTCCTTCATCTGCCCCGGATTGAGCCACTCAAATTCAGTGGCAGAATGTCTGATTGGGGGGGGGTGCTTTATCTTTTTTTTTTTCAAATATATGAGTGGGAAGGTAAGCAGGAGGCTTTTCAGACACCTAAAAACATGTTTGCGATCCAGGTGCTGGAATTGGACAGCAGAAACTCAATTGTGCAATGTCATCCTGTTTTGGGAGTTTTTTAAAATAAGGATGGGAATAAAAGTGGCTTGCTCCCATTTCCACTGTACGTCCCTACCAACACCTTGAAAAGCAGGTGAAAAATACTGAACTGTTCCCCTTCTGTGGATGTCACTATGTCATTGGATGGTTTCCTGTGACTCCCCAGAAAATCAGGAGGCTGAGTTGAGGTCCCCAATCTAAAAAAATTGCTCGCCTCTATTTTAAACCATGGTTTGCTGAAGGAATCCTAAATAGCTGACTCTACAACATCATAAATGATAAGGCATAGATTGCAGTCACCATGGCTAGAGTCATATGATAATTGAACCAAAATTCAAATCATATTATGGCTTTGCATAATATATAAACTACACCCATCCACTCTCTTCCAGCTTATCCAGACACTGATTTCTTTGTAGATGAGGTTTTTGTATTCCTTGCTAGTCAGATGTGTATAGCAAAGGGTGTTCCAATGAAAATCCAGTTGATAGATTTCAGGTTAGCAACAGGCAGGGAATATATTTTTTCCATATCCCATTTCCTAAAGAATTATATCTGGAATTTATACCTGTTTGCGGCTGTTAGTCAACTGGCAGAATCGTGAGGCTTCAGTAGATTCCCCCATGGATCTGCTAATCTGACCTGTGACCTTTGACAAATATATGATTTTTCTTTCAGAGAATTGCATGATTAGATCACCAGTTTATTTGTGAGACCAATTAATGATTTTTTTAAATGTTAATCGTTGACATTAATTGCAAAAAAATCCTAAGACAAAATTAAAATGAACAAAAATAAAATATGTAATATCAGCTTACCTTCTTTTAAAGCCAAATAGATTGCAAAACAGCTCTGTGGCTGCTAAGCTTGGTGTGAAAGTTGATGAACTTAGAGGGAGTATTAACATCCTCTTAATGCCTATGAGTTGTGCTAAGTTAAAGGATTCTTGAAGATGGATGCAGGACATTTGAAACTTTTGAAAAGATAGAACACTCAGGACAATGGATAGGCCTGGAAAAGAAATGATAGAAGCCAACAGGAGCGAATGATTCTGGAGTTTGAAAACATTTGCAGGACTGCTCCATTTAGATCATTTAGGCATCCAAGGATAGGCAAAGCAAAAATAGAAATACTGTGGAAATATGCTGGACCACTGAGAAGAAAGGATGTGATTGATACAAAACTCTTATCACATCCCCAACTTCTTTCTTTCCCCTAATTTCATTACTGGAAGTGTTTATCACTATTGACCAGTTACCCACTGAAAACAACAAAAAGAGGCTATGCTTACTTAAAAAAAGAAATGTTGAATATCTTGATACATTTTGATAGGGAGTAAGAAGATACTTGCAATTGTTATAGACCACTCTTTTCCTTTAATCTTGGTACAAAAAGACCCTGATCTATTAATGATATTTATACAGCATCCAGTTTTACAGCAGGGAATTTAAAAGATGCTTCATTAAATCCAGTGTAGAAAGCATGATCATGGTGATAGGATGATTTTATCCCACTAATTATACGTATAAAATTCAAGACGGCGAGCATACCTAATACTCCTACCTTCTGTTTTCCCCACCCTGTGGTTCACTCAATCAGGTGGGATGCTTAAAATGCTCCTTTGCTATCTCTTTCTAGAACAGTGGTTCTCAACCTGTGGGTCGGGACCCCATTTGGGGTCGAATGACCATTTCACGGGGGTCACCAAACAAGGCTGTCCGCCATTTTGTTCCCCCTTTTCTTTGGCCACACCCCTGGCACCCGGTGATGTATAAGTGGTTGGGGGTCACCACAACATGGGGAACTGTATTATGGGGTCGCGGCATTAGAAAGGTTGAGAACCACTGTTCTAGAATTACATGCAGCAGTGACTGAGTCAAGGCATGCCAGCCTTGAGTTTCATGTGATTTCCATATACTACAGGAGTCTTCAGTCTCGGCCCTTTTATGATTCATGGACTTCAACTCCAAGAATTCCTCAGCCAGGCACGCTGGCTGAGGAATTCTGGGAGTTGAAGTCCATGAGTCATAAAAGGGCCGAGTTTGAAGACCCCTGATATACTAGATACATGTTGTCTTTTTTGCAGCGACCTTCAAAATGCAGTGGCTGGCTCCTTTGCTTCTGCCTTTGCCACTTTGGCCCTCTGCCCTACAGAGCTTGTGAAGTGCCGCTTGCAGACCATGCATGAATTGCAATTATCTGGGAAGATAGTGCAACAGCACAAGTAAGTAATTCATCAGCCTCAACCCTGCCTGCCTTTTCCAGGTTTGGAAGTGATATGACCCTTTTAATGAGTTTATTTCTCTGTACTTAACATGCTTGTATTTTTTTTTGAATTATGTTTCTTATATTTTGTTTTATTACATTTTTATTGATTTACTGGTTTTTTAATTTAAATTAAGAATTTTTCACAGAGTAAAAGACAAATAGAAGGAAAGAAGGAAGGGGAAAAAACAAAAATTAGGAAATAGAATCACTTCCCATCTTTTTTTCAATTTGAGTTATAATCATATAGTCCCTCCTCTTAGATATTATACAAGTGTCTTCAGCCCCTCATTTAGTCTACCTAAATGAGGGAATAGTTTAGTGCAGGGGTAGGCAACCTTGGCTCTTTTATGACTCGTGGACTTCAACTCCCAGAATTCCTGAGCCAGCCATGCTGAGGGGAAAGGGAGAGTTTCCAAGCTGAGCCATGCTGGCTCAGGAATTCTGGGAGTTGAAGTCCACGAGTCATAAAAGATCCAAGGTTGCCTACCCCTGGTTTAGTGTTTCTCTCATGACTAGAAAATTTGTGCCTCACCAGATGCAAATGAACTGCAGCTCTAGGATCTGTCCAAGATCTATCACATTTTTCCTGTTTTAAGTAATAGGCAAGATTCCTAGAAGCTTAACCACTGGCAATTAAGATAAAAGTTTTTTTTTAAAATCAGGGATTAGTAGTATTTAGACATCTATAATCAAAAATTTGTACCAAACTACTTCTGAGATGGGTTTTTGAGAAACACACAGCTTAATTTTAACTATTGATACATACTGTGTTTTGACAGTGCTCCAAGACAGGAACTAGATATCTTTGGAAGCAGTTTTTCCAGCTAGCTTTTCCCATCATTAGCTGGCAACCTATGTTTGTAATAATATTCTTTTTCTTCTCCTAGTACAGTTTGGTCAGTAATCAAAAGTGTTCTGCAAAAGGATGGCCCCCTTGGCTTCTATCGTGGTTGGTTCAGCACTTTACTACGTGAAATTCCAGGCTATTTTTTATTCTTTGGAGCTTATGAATTCAGTCGGACCTTTTTGGCATTTGGAAAACCAAAAGAGGAATTAGGTATGTCTGAGCTTGTTAACAATATGACTTCTTGTCTTGAGATAAATATAGCTTCTTTTAATCCCACCCTTGCTGACTTTCAACCCCAAAGGATTTCTGCTTAATAAAAAAAATCTTGCGGCCTGCTCAAAATGTTCTCATATAAACACAGTAGCTTAAAATTATTTATTTATGGCATATCACACATAGACTAGCAGCCTTAAAGATTACTGCTGATTAAAGAAAAAAAGCCCAGTCCAAATTAGTGAAGAAGAACCCAACCTAATAGCAGCCAAGTCAGAGAATTAGCAGAGAATTGGACAACTTAATAACCAACACACCCAAATAATGTTTCAATACACTGTGCCTTAAAACAAACATGCTTACCGGCTTTAGTAGGATACAGGAGTTGTCTTTTTTTTTTTACAAAATTGCGGGTTGGAGGAAATCACTTGGGGTTTTTTTTTGCTATCATATTATAATATGCTACAATATATTAAGCTCCTGATGCTTGTTTTTATAGGTCCGGTTGCATTGGTGCTCAGTGGTGGCTTTGGTGGCATGTGTCTCTGGATTGCTGTTTACCCAGTGGACTGTGTCAAATCTAGGATCCAAGTTCTTTCCATGGCGGGAAAACAGACTGGCTTTATGAGAACTTTTGCAAGTGTTGTCAAGAATGAAGGTTAGAATATGAAAGAGACTAATGAGCCCATGGGTGACGGTATCGCTTAACTTCTGCAAAGCCATAGCTGTCAGCTGTCCCTTATACTTTTTTATGAGGGGGGGGGACAAAACAAATCTGGCTGTTTTCCAGAGAGCACTTAACTTGGTTTTCACAGGTGATGTCACATATTTACTTTCGGTAGCATTAGGTCGTTTCTTTCTTCAAAATAACATGTGCCTGGACCACATATTTTGCTAAAAAGAACCAGCTGGTTGTCAATTTACATCTGTTGGTGCTGCTACTCATTTTCTTTGTAATGACAGGAAGTTAAATTGCAGGGCCAGATTAGGATAGATTATCAGCATGATCAGATAACCATTAATTTTAGGAATGATGGTTGAATACAGCCAGAAAGAAAAAAGTAAGATCCTTTCACTTTTCAAGGCTGAGGTTGGCAAAAGACTAGAAAGACAGGATTTAAAATGTTACTTATTACCACATAAACCTGAAATAGTGCTTAGGAGGTAAATGTAACTTAGTCATGGACTGTTGTAGGACAGTTTGCCTGTTTAGGAATGTGTATAGTCACGGTAACAGGATGTCGATTTCTCATCTATTAGGTTTGAGTCTTCTTGCCTTGGTCTGGTTCACTCATGCTAATTTATGGTTTGTTGAATAAAGCAGTTGGCTGGGTTTATAGAAGAGATTAAATCACAAACAATAACCCACATTTGAACTTAGTATAATATGTAAAGCCAGCTCCTTCATATATTAAAGATGATGTCTCCATTATCTCATGCCCTTAGAATGATTAGATAATTAGTCTTTAGGATCAACCTCTTTTCACGGACAGCGGGCTTTCCTGACCTGCCCCCTTCAGGTTTGGGCTGCAGCTCACATCATCCCCAGTAATGTTCCATATCACAGCACAGTAATCCAAAAGCAAATCGTATTGTGACTGTTTAAGGCTTTAGAATAGAACAAGGCCTAAGTGAAGGACAAATAATGTTTATGTCATCATGCAAATGATGCAACTTACACATTTGACTCAAACTTGACTTTACATAATTACATTATTTGTATTATATCTACCTATACTATACTTTTTATAAACAGTACACTCATTTCAGCTGTTGTTCAGATTCCTTCTCTTGCACTTAGCAGCCTTCTGGTCTAATCTTCTGTAAGAAAGTTAAGTTGCATAACCCGTGAATCCATGATGAATGTAAGCCCTTTAAGATATAATTAATCTATGACACTGGTTCTCAACCTGTGGTCCGCTATCGTTAAGAGAGGGTCTACAAAGGCTTGAAGAACTGTTATGATTTAAATCTTGAGTTAAGTCTTGGGGGTCCAGGGCCACAGTCCATGGTCACAAAAGGTGAAAAAAAGATTGAGAACCACTGACCTATGATAGTCACGGTCAAGATAAAAATTTAGATTTATTTTTCTCCAAATCAATTGCACAATAGATTTATATACAGTATATAGTTTTATTATTAATATAACCCAGTCATTTCAGTCTTACAATTTCTTCTTTTATTTTTCGAACAGATTAAATTGCTTAACACATTTCTGAACATTATCAGCTACATGTTAAAAAGTAAGGTAAATAATAAATTTAGATAAGGAAAAATCATCTGATCAACCCAAATATATTTAACCGTTTCTTCCGAATTTGCAGGCAAGCTGAAATTCCTAAAAGTTTAGCTTTTGTTGGATTTCCTTCTTCAGTTTTAAATCAGTGCAACATAGTCTGAGTTTTAAAAAAGTGATGGAAATGAAATTCTAAGGTAGTTTTTCTAATGTTTAATGTCTTCCTCATAGGTGTGTTTGCTTTGTACTCTGGACTGAAACCTACGATGATCCGTGCATTCCCAGCCAATGGTGCCCTGTTCCTTGCCTATGAATACAGCCGTAAACTGATGATGAACCAGTTTGATAGCTAGAACTTTTATCACAGACTGACATCATTGGAGTATGTGTGGTCACCACAGCAATTGCCCAAGTGTGAGTGACAGATTTTAAAATCTGAGTGAAATGACTGCAACTTTTTAAAAAAATGATTTCAGTAAAAATACTGTATTTTCTAAATGTTGTGTGCTTTGTGAATTTACACATCTAGATCAGCACTGATATTACATGATCTTATAAGGGATTTTAATTACTCACTTCTGTAGAAATTTTAGGTATGGGACTTTAAAAAAAGAATATGCTGCAATACCAGTTAACTAAGTTTGCAACATAAGTGAGTGCACTAGAAGTATCTTAATATTCTGGAAAGCTGAACAGGAGGTGCATTGCAGAGTAGTATTTATAATGTTCCACATTAGTTAATTTGTATACAACTCTACTTATTGGTGATTTGATTCTCACACAATAGAGAACATTGGAAAGCACCTTACAGATAAACAGACTTCTAAAAAATCACTTGTAATCTAGTACCCAATATTTCTCTATAATGTTCCATGTTCCCAGAATATAATGCTATTGTACCAATCAGCATTCTGTTGATTAGAGAAATCAGATTTTTTTTCATTCTCTAATGACATATAATCTATACACGTCTAAACATTTCTCTTAAAAGGTATTAATATAATCTGCTGTGTTTAGCTATAATCATATTTCTTAGTTGTAGCATATTATTAGTAGTGATATGGACAACAGTTGGCTCAACTTCTATAACAATGCTTTGGAATGGAGTGATATTGTAGTCTGCATTTGGCTCACTGACACTGCATCTGAATTCAGCGTACAGAACAAGCTTTTAGCTGAAACTCAATGTATTTAACAATATCCTTCACAAATATGCATGTTATAAACTAATTTTAGATGTGTCAAACATCTTGGAATACAGTAGTAGCAAATTCCGCATTACATGCTAATTTTGGAAACTCAAAGTAGCATTAATAACTTATTAAACACTAGATCACTTTTTTCAAAATTGGCAGCTTTAAGATGTGCAGACTTCAACTCCCAGAATTCCCCAGCCAGAATATTAGTTGAAGTTCATACCTCTTAAAAGTTGACAAGGATGCCATACACTGCAATAGATTGTATAACAGAATATCTAATGTTGCTTGACAGGTTTGCATACAGATGATTAGAAGGACTGGCAATATTTCAGAATAAAAATACAGCATATGATTTTTGTCGATATTAGATGTTAAACCTGTCCTTATATATTACACAAAATTATTTCCATACTGTACATTTTTCTGATGCTGATATACCATTTGACCTATACTTCCAGCTACCAATTTTATCATCAAAAATTATTTTTCACATTATCTATTCCGATGTTGGGCGGCATAGTTTAAATGAAATTATAAAATTATATAAATCATACATTAAAACTAGGAGAAGCATAGAGGGAAAGCATTTCATTCCTTCAGGATATTGTGCTGCAAACATGAATTGATAATATATATGAAATGACAAAACATCAAAGTGGAGCTAATATAAAGCTGCTAAACTGGAATTCATGAACAAATATTATATTGTAACTAGATCAACAGGTAGAATTTCTAGCTTGCTAAAGAAAACATGAAAGGTTTTTTTATAAGGAAAAATTTGGGGAGGTAATGTAATCACTTACATGCATTATCTATGGTGAAGGAGCCATCATCATTACATATTATAAATTCCAGCCATTTTAAAAACAATGAACTCCAGTGGCAACTTTTCCTAACATAATATTCTCCATACACATACCCCTATCCTGCCTGGAAACTGAATTGTGAATTTAAAGGCCTTCCCAGTCAATGCAAATTGTGAAACTAAACTGTTCATACAATGTTTGGAGTTCCCACATGTGGGATAAAAATTATAAAAAATATACTAGGTCAGAAACTCAGTAAAAGGCCAATGGAATGCAGAGAGGGAGGAAAAGCAGGTAGAAACTTTGCTCTCCAATCTTGGGGCATCATGGCTCACACATGAACCTGATGAATCTGGCATCAGAAGCCATTACAATATAGTTAAGCCACATCTCCAGACTCCCAATCATAAACTGCTATTGGAAATTGGCCAATAACCCAGTCATTTTGGGAGGATAGAAAGATAAAAGATTTTTAAAAGGTCAGAATAAGATAATGAAGAACTTGTGAACTTGCTACTGAGTTTACACTGAAGGCCCTTTAATTTTCTTATACAGAATCCAGATGGCAAAATTAATTGTTGTAATCATGATAGCGCACTAGATATTAGTTTTATTTTTACATTCAAGGTGATTCTGAACACTGAGAAGGAGTAGTCTCAAAATACAATTCCATATCAGGTGCAAAACCAGGTTACTAAATTATTATGCAATTCCCAGTTAAGTCTGTTTCTGCTTGCTTCAGTCATGGGTCAGTGAAATTTAACTCCACAGCAAAATTATCTCTGAACATCTTCCACATCTTTGGTTTGTTTAAGTTATCGATTTCATTTCTTGTGAGGAAAAGTCTAGGGAAAAGAGAAAAAAACAAGTTCTCTAATATAAATTATTTAAGCTTTTGCACAGAAGAGAACAAAATAGTTTTTCTAATAACTTTAGCGTTTTCAAATAACGTTTCCCAGAAAAATATTCAGCTCTTCAGCAATCTTTCGGTTCCCATTAAGAATGCACATGCCTGCCTCCTGTGCATGGGTAGTGCCATTGTGACTCTGCAAATGCTATCATTCACCTCCAAACATTACTCACAGAAAAAAATGACAGGTGTGTCATATCTAAGAAAGCTGAATTTTCAAACACATAAAACTCACACTTTCATGAGTATTGGCATTTGGCAATATTCATTTATAATGATGACACAAATTGATGCAATTGGGAGGGAAAAGCATATAAATGCCCTCAAATAAGTAAATATAAATAGTTTGAGAAGAACATAGTTTGGGAAAAGAATATAATAGCTTGAATGCAAAATAAATTCTAGTCAACGTTAAATGTATTTCCAAACATTAGCAAACAAGCAATATGAAACATAGCTTAATAGGCTAAAGAAAGAGAGAAATAACACTTGCAACGGAAATAATCCCCTTGCTTAAAAGCACTTAGTATTTTGTATCTCCTACATGGCAAATAAAATTATTTGCAGTGACAAACGGAATGGTACCACTGAGGACTTATTTTCAAAAAAAGTTGTGAGCTTTTACTAAATAATTACATAACTTTTCTTAGAGACTTAGTAAGCTTTATAAATCCATTACAGTAAAAACAGTAATACGAACATCCCTCTACATCAGTGTTTCTCAACCTTGACAATTTTAAGGCATGTGGACTTCCACAGCCAGAATTCCACATTGCTGGCTGTGGAATTCTGGGAGTTGAAGTCCACATGCCTTAAAATTGTCAAGGTTGAGAAACACTGCTCTACATAGTAGAGGCACTTTTTTAAAACTGGTGTTCTCTAAAGAGTTGGCTCATACTAAGCAATATTAAAAGGCAGGCCTCTTTTTCTCTATAGACTATCCATAAAAAATACCACAACCCCATAGAAATAAAGAAATGCTGGTCTCTTTCTGTGGAGACTTGAGCTAGGTTTCTGTAACCTAAAGTCTTTTATACATTGGCTCATAGGTCTGGGTGCATTTTGGCTTTCTTTTCCATGTGTACTTTCAAACATACAACTTACTGATAGTCCTGTATAAAAGCTGTATGGAACCAAAAAAAGAAAGCACAGCCATCATAGCCTTTTGGAATATCCTACATTTAAAAAAAAAGACAAGAAATACAGTTAATGCTACTTGGATAAAACATCAAGCCATCATCACAGCCAAATCATAGAAAGAACTGAAATCCTCTTCCGGTTTGCCATTGCGGTATTGGCGGACGCATGGAAGCGAGCTCTGTCTTCAGCGTCCGGTTTTATCCCGCTGGGGGACCCTGGAAAGGGTCAAAAGTCACCCTGTAGAGGCAACGAGCAAGGAGAGGACCCCCGTTTGATAGCGGAAGGGCAGCAGCCCTTCCGCTTGATCCAGAGCAACTCTCCAAACCAGCAGAGAAAAGACCGGCCATAGCAATATGGCTCATCATTAAGCTGCTGACAGCCGAAGTTAAAGTTACAACCTTTAAGCACCTTTAAAGCGATGCGGATGAAACTGGGTGAGATTTGATCTTCTGTTTAAGACTTTAAATATTTTTCCTGCAAAAGCTGCCCAAAGTATTTCTCCCCCTGTGAGAGAGGGAGGGAAGGGAATTCTTACCCCACCCTCTAAGAACAGTGGCAATTGACTACCTAGGGGAAAAGAGCAATTATAAGAACAATTCTAACTTAATTGGAGGCATATACCTTTGAAATTTAGAAACTAAAAGTTTTCCTATCCTTACTGGAGATATTGGCTTTTATTTAAAAAGAAAAGAAATAAACCTTGAAAAACTATTATTAAAACTCGGTATCTAAAAATTTTTAAATGGCATTGGTGACATCTTGTGGCGAAATATGCTATTACAATTTCTTATTGACTAAAAGAGACTTGGCTGTAAGCCCAGAAATTAGAAAAAACCCTCTCGACCTTAACATACCACCTGTGAGAAACACAGCTGTAAAGAAGGAACTGTAAGACAGTTTATCTGGCCTGTTTGAACTATGAAGATAAACCTTTATTGACTTTCAGAATTATATGTGGGAAATTGTTTTCCTATTTCTTCACATGAGAAGTCTTTGTTACTACACGAGATGATGGAATACTTTGGACTATAAATTCTTACCTGCCAACTAATTTCCACTATAAGACTATCCGCAACATGTGAAATAGATGTCACACATCTATCTACAAAAACTATTTTTAACATTTGATTTTAAAATCCTTAATTTAATATATTATCAAGAGAATATGGATGAAGATCAGGAAAAAATCCTTTCTATGTTGAAATCAATACATGAAATCATTCTTTCAGCATGTAACAAAATAAGAGACAACATAAAGGAACAAGGTGCCAACTTAAATATACAAACCCAGATTTTGATTACAATCAAAGACCCAACAATGCAAAAAGCAACAGGAGAAATGGAACAACTAAATATTAAGACAGAGGACCCAACTGACCAACAGATCCAGCCAACTGGGAAATTAGAAAAGAGAGTAACATCACTGAAAATGGAAAATATTTTTTTCATAAATCAGAAGAAAATTGAGAAAAAGGAAGAAGAACAGACTGAATGGAAGATAAACTTATTAGGACAACTGTGGGAAACTGGAATAATGGGGAAATATAATGGGGCTAGTTCTTCCAAAAAAATTGTAATTAAATGGTTTTCCTTAACTCAAATAATACACACAATAATAGAGAGAAAACTGTTTGATGAATTAAAATTACTGACATAGATAGTTAGTTGGCAAAGGAAAAAAGCAGTTTTATACTATTGATTAGAAGGCTGAAGATGGTCCAATATAGATAATTTTTTTTTAGAAAATAAAGTAATATTATAACTGAATAGGTAAGATGTATAATAAGATTAATAGATTTTTGGTTTAATATGGTGGGAAAAAAGAGATTTTTTAGAAAATAGAATAAGATTATATGCAAATAGATAAGATGTATATTTAGAATATTAGATTTTGTTATAAAAAAGGGAAAAAGTAGAAGTTGAGATAAGGGAAACTCCAATTACCTAAAGCTTAGAAACTATAACATACCAAATGTTAAGTTGAATATTGAGGGAAAATTAAAGCCTGGGGAAAAAGCTACAACAGGACATTGATTTATATAAGATTGAATGTAAACACAATTAAGATATGTATAAACTTAAAATTATTGATAAATGTAACAAAGATCATTTTACTTAGTTGATAACAATAAGAATTATATTAATTCAATATAAGATAGTAGATATTAAGGGATAAAGAGAGGAAATATCTGATATTGTAACTTGAGATTTGTGCTAAAGATTTATGCACGTTATGGAATCATTGATTACCCAGTCACTACGTTGCTTTTTAAATGTTTAATTGTAAAATTAGAAAATCAATAAAATATTATAAAAAGAAAGAACTGAAATCCATAATAATATGTCTTCAGCTGGTTACGTCTGGTCAATTTATGCAGAGAAATCTAGCAGCTTAAGGGTACAAAACAGAGAAGTCTGAAGTTTCTTTCAGTCTAAATCAACAATTGGTCACTTTGAGACATGGCTATGTAATTTTCTTAATAACAATATGGAAGTAGTTTGCCACTGCTTTTTAGACTTTTTTAGACTGGCATTTCCTGGTGGACTCCAAAACAGGCCTACCAAGCTTAGTTTTTCAAAGTCAGCCAAGTTTGGCAGGTGGGTATAAGGTCAGCAGGATGCTTAAACCATTTAAAGGTTTTGTGCCTGAGATGGAATGGAATGACTATTTCAACACAGTTATAAATGTGAAAGGTATACAAAAATTCACCATTTCTCAACTTACAGAAGTAGCTTCAAATCTGACTTTCACATCATTTCTGATGACAGGACAGTTCTTCAAACCAATTACTATCAAGTCATTTTCATGATCAAGGAACAACTGAAACAAAATAGATATGCATCTTATTCTCACTCACTAAATGTTTCTCACAAAATGTAAGACTGTAATTTATTAGTTCTTTTTCTCATGCTCTGAAAACACCAGGAAGGCGCGTGAAGGGAGGTGTAGCTCATTATCTGTTAATATTTCAATAAGTCTCTCCACTCGAGAGGACAAGATTATATATATGAGAGACCGAGAGTCATATGCATACTGCATTACCCATTCTGGCTCAAAAGGAAATTTTAAAGGTAAGAAGTCATGCCATAAAACTGCTATTTAGCTCTTGAACAGATTATACAGTTCTGTAAGTATATAGCCTCATGCAATATTAAAGAGCTCTCCACTAGTGCTTTAGGTAATAATTAACTCTATTTTGAATGCAGCTTTTCCTAGACTAGTTTGCTTCTCAAAAGTTACTTCTTTCAAGGCATGAACATTAAAAACACATTCTTCTCTGATCCTCAGATGGATTAATGCCACCTCTAGTTAATTTATCACTATTTGTGGGAACTTAACTGACATATAATAATCTATCAGCCTTTCTGGATGTTAGTCAAATAGCATGCTAGCTATTTTTGTAAAAAGTTATTCTCACAACACAGCCAATAGGAATAGCAGAAGCTGCCATATTGCAAGTCAGATTACTGGTGTGCCTAGCACTTTCTTTTTTATGCTGGTTCTCCAGGATATCAAATAAGAAATTTCTCCTTCCCATTTATAGATTCTAGAGCAGGGGTGTCAAACTGCTGGCTCACGGGCCAGATGCGTCATGCCAAAACCACACCCACCCCATTGTCGGCAATGAAGAAAAAGTCGCAATACGTCGGGACACGTCATATGATGTTGCAAGTTTGACACCCCTGTTCTAGAGACAGAACTGAAATACCTGGCCTGCATCTACTAAGCATGGCCTTTCTCACTACTTTATTCATCACTGCCTATTTGGAATTATTCAATCAGTGAACTCAAAGGAAAGATGCCTCAGTTTTCATTGCAGTACACAGATCTGTGCTGCAATTGAACATGGAATGAATGGGAACTCTATCAACAAATCCTGGCCTTCACGACTGCAGGATCCTTAAATTAACATGAAGCTCTGACCTTGCAGTTCATTAGTGTTGCACAAATGCACTGAAATACTACATCCTTCTTCATGATTATCTTTATTCTGAAATCAGTTCCATTGCCCTTACCAACTCCTAAAGAGGGAAAAGAGGAGAAATGGAGACAAAGACATGCATTAGATAATTACTGGAATCAAACAATAGAATTCATATTTTAAAACAAAAATATCCTGTGATGTTGCAAAATGACCAGCTTTTTCATCTCCTAGTCCTTTCCAATCCAGTTTAGTAAGGTTGATCTGGACTGTTCTGACAATTTGACTATGTAAATACTAGGAATACAATAATATTTATAGGTTTGCTAGTCTATAATTCATAGAGAACCATCAATCCATCATTCCTAGCTCGTTCTACTTTCAAGCTGGCCAATAGCTTACTTGATCCACATCTAAGCAGGCATTCCTTTTTCACTCTTCACAAAAAGAAAAGACTAAATTCACACTGTGTTTTTCTATGTTTCATGTATGTCTATGCAATTATATATCCACTGATTTTTGGAAAAAATGCAGTTATAGTTTAAAGGAAAACTATGCAATAGGGAGGTAGATTAAAAATTGCAGGTACACTGAAAAATTTCAACAGCTTTCAGTTTCATGGCAGCAAACTTTCCTTCTGAAACTTGCAATGCTGCTAAACCAGCAATTCTGTATTTGTGTATTTTCCCCAAATGTGCAAGCACATTTCTACAATAGGAAACCTAAAATGCTGAGAGACAGGTTGAGTAAAGAATCTCCATCAAACACAAGGCAGCTGGTCAATTCACTTCCTGAAATGACATCAGTACGCTAAAACAGCACCAACACAAGGATATGTTGCAGCTGCTACCCTGCTGAAATGGATGGCTGAACATATGTGGAAGTAGACTGGAGGCTTTGAACATCCTCTTTTAAGATGGTACTGGTCTGCGCTAGCGACTTGCTTGGAACTCAGAAGAGAAGCTACGGGGATCCCAGCTCATAAAAGTATCCTAAATAAATCTAGTGTCTTCATGTCTAGTTTGAATAAGAGATAAAAGACTGGGCATAACATAGCCAATGTCTTATCCTGCATAAAGAAGTACAGAAAAATTAGACTTAACAGCCAGCGAAAACAAACTAAAAATTTAATGCAAAATCATGTTTTATCTATTTCTACAAAAAAATGAGTGACTCTTAAATCAGATGTTCCTTCTGATTAAACTACTTAGACTTCCCCTCTGATTCGTAAATTTAATAGAGGTCGTTCAAAGAGATGTTAAACTCTTTCCTCCACCTTAGTTCTGTAACTTCTTTCCAAGTTCTTCCCCAAACCTTTGTTTGTTTGTTTTTCAAATTCTTATCTCCAACAGAGGGAGATGGGACAGTCTAATTCAACAGAACCAAGAGCCATGCTTTATTAGTGGATATGAACTGACCAGTTAGGATGAGTCCGGCTGGCTGTAACAGTCAAGAATATTCAGCCTGCCCATTCACAGCCCTACTCTGATAGTACTGTGTGATGGAAGGAACCCAATTGTGATCTAAGTGCTGAGATTGCATAAACAACTGGAAAATCCCCTTCCTACAGCATTTTAGTGGCACTTACCTTGGATAGCATAGAGTTTTATGCATTTGATTCTGAAAAGCTTCTCTGGTGGGAGGATCAGGTTGTATTCTGATTTCAAGATTTCATAATATTCTACATATCTACTCTGCAAATAAAATTTAGGAGTGCCTTGAGACAAAAATAATTGTATATAGAAATCTATAACAAATATAAATAAATAAATATTCATATCTCTAAAAAGCCAAAATCTTAAGGAAAGCAAATGTCCTATTAATCCAAAAAATGGAAAGTCCATTTATAATGTTATCTGGGAAAGTCCTTGGGAGGTGGGGCAAAGAGATATCGCCCAGGAAATGGTCAAGTAAGGAACAGCGGACCCTGCAGTTGGATAGTAAGTGGGGCAACAGGCTCAGAAAGGACCCTCCCTGAGTTTCTCAGACTGTAAATGAGACAGTAAGAGAATTGTACTTTCAGACTTGCAAAACTGATGTCAGTCAACCTTACCAAGTAGACCAGACATGAAACAAGATCAGATAAGCTAATTCTACTTTATTGTGAAGCTACATTAATAGAAACTTGAAAGTCTGAAGGTATAGCTTGAAAGACTAAGGAAGATCCCTTCTGAGCCTCTTGCCCCACTGACTATTCAGCTGTGGGCTACGCTGTCTCTTATCTGACTATTCCCTAGGCCAGGGGTAGGCAACCTTGGCTCTTTTATGACTTCTGGACTTCAATACCCAGAATTCCTGAACCAGCCATGCTGACTCAAGAATTCTGGGAGTTGAAGTCCACGAGTCATAAAAGAGCTGTAGGCAGCATCTCTTTGCCTCCTCTTCCAAGGTATTTCTCATATCATTCTCTGATATTTGACTTCATAAGGGAGGGGGATTTAATATTCATGTCCCAAGCTTTGCTTAACCAAAAATGACCAAACCCAAGCTATCATGATTGGAGGAAAGGCAGTGAAGCAGAACTTTAAAAATGCAAGATAAAAACAGAAAATAACTATTTAAATTACACAGCTATTTTGTGCCAATCAATTGTATTAGGTTTTTTTTTATTCAACCTTATACATAGCTTCATAGTAAATTTTTTACCTGTGATGGAGTTTCAACACCCTGAAACTTGGTGCTGGCAGTTTCGTCAGTTCTTCTTTTACCAAAGTACTCCAAACTTTCCTTTAAAAATGAGAATCATGTTACTATAATTACTGCAGCATCTTACAGTATTCAGTTTAAGAACAACCAGCTAGAGATCTTATATCAGAAAAGTGCACAACCTGGGAACAGCAGAGTGCCTCAGGGCTACACATTTGTAAGTGGAATGTCAGAGCTACACTTCAGAAAATAGATGTGCTCAAGAAAACCAGGGGAGCAGAGTGGGGCAAAACTTAATTCAGATTTAATTAAAGAAACAATTACTTTAACACATATTTAATTATTTTCCTTTTCAGTCATATTGTAAATTACAATTCATAAGCAATGTTTGGAAGAACTATGGGCAGCAACTAAGTTAATACCAACTTTAAATAGAGTTCCAGGAGACATCCAAATAATTACAAGTTGGTCAACTTAATATTTGCTGCAGGCAAGCAGGTAAAATAGTAATCTGAGAAAAAAAACAACTGAACACATATAGGAACAAGCCTCGTTGAAGGAATTTCACACGGTGACAGAACAGCTTTTCTGGCTCTATTACATGAAGTCTTGGATATGGCAAATTCAAACTCCTTATCAAAGATGATGTTGAACAAACAAGAAGTTGCATGCTAGGTGGTTTGGTCAAGCCATACTGAAAGTATCAGTTTTTAATTACATTTTACATTTGGAACCCACACAGAAGAAACTATGGCAGGTAGCACTTTTCAACATGCTCTGCATAAAGAGTCATTTCAGATACTTTAACTCATTCAGAAACAAGAGGGAAAATATCAACATTACTTTGGTACCTGCGCAGTCTTAAACAGGCCGGTGTCAATAAGCCAGATGCAAATCATAGTTCCAGTCCTACCTGCATCAAAAAGGGGAAATCAGTGACTTAGAAATAATGTCATGTTTACTTGTCCCCAAGAATGAGGCTGTGAAAGCATCAGTATTAAGCAATCCCACCCCTGCACCTCCTAACAAATCTGAAACCTGAACTTACGAAAAATTCACCCTGCACATCTACCACCAGGTAATGCAAATAGTCTTCGAAGATAGCTACTATCAGTGAATGCTAAATCTATTGAGCCATAGTGGCGCAATGGTTAGAATGCAGCTACTTCTGCTGATTGCTGGCTGCCAGCAGTTCAAGTGTCAAACTACCATCCTTCGAAGGTCGGTAAAATGAGTACCCAGATTGTTGAGGACAATATGTAAACTGCTTAGAGAGGGCTGTAAAGCACTGTGAAGCGGTATATAAGTCTAAGTGTTATTGCTATTGCTATTACAGAATTTCCATGCATCCCAGATAATGACTGATAATCTAAGGTTTTCAGAAGGGCTAAAAATAACATTCCTTTTGAGTATGTCTGAAAGATACTGGATCACTACAGTGCACTCTGCATGGGGCTGCTTTTCAAGACGATGTGAGGCTACAGTCACCACATCCCTTAACTAATACATTATCTGAAAACATTTTATCAGCCCTTCAGCATTAATACTGACATATGCTAGCCTCTGAGTCCAATTCAGGGAATCATTTTACACACTCCCCTGCACCAGAACAATTGTCAAAAGAGGGATCTTTGGAACTTCCAAACCAGAAAGTTCACGTACCTTTCCCACCTTTACAGTGTATTGCTATAACATTGCGGTTGTCCTGTTCCATCCATTGCCTCACATTGGCAGTGAATATGAGTGTCTCCCTTAAAGAAAAGGAACAATGCCTTATTTAAGAGCTTATGTATTTATTACTGTAGAAAAATTAAAATGTTCTCTCATTTATCAGAACAGTGGAATTTCTTATAACCACACACCATTTCTATTTAAGCATCTTTAGGTTACCTCTGGAGATAAGCCAGAACATAGTTCATAGGAGAGATTTTTAAGGACTTTCCACTAAAAAGACTTGCATTGCTGCTCACAATTGAAAACAAACTGAATTTATTAATAGTTTTCTTCTTTTTGGGAGAGGAGACAGGCAGATTAGGCTGGAGGGTTTTTGTGAAGAAGGGCATTTTGGCAGATATTATGATAGATTATGGGAATAGAGGAAGGGTCATTATAGGATAGTAGTCTTTCTTGGTAAAAGCAGGACTACTGAGTCCAGAGTGTGGGTGTATGTTTGGTTAATTGGCCTGTAAGGGAGGGATATGTATTATGAGCACACCATTAAGGATAGCAGGAGGATGATCCATTATGATGGATTGAGAGGTCCAGAAAAGCAATTGTGAGGAAGAGAAATCAACAATTAGATGACCATCCCTGCTTCTATTCAGTGAGTTTGATTCTGGATTTATACTGTCAGCCCTTCAAGGTAGACCAGAGTAGGAAACTGAAATCATGCATCTCATCATCTCGTCTCTGGGTTTAGGACTGACAGCTGGTTATAAAACAACCATTTTGTACAGCACTTTGCCAATTCACTGAAGTCTTCCATGGTATCCAATAAGACCAGTGAAGTATCATCTGGCTGTGTTCTCTGGGATTTTTTGACCTGCTGACTTTTGTGAAGGAAACAGCCTACTCTCCGGCATGATTCCATCACCTGTACGACAGCCCTTCTGGCTTCTGTAGGAGTCAGGGTGGACCCCCTTGAAACAAGGCTATCAGTACTTTGTTTCAAGAGGAGGCATTGTGAGGTTATGGTATCCTCCCTTAACAGGTTTTACTGGGATACAGCTGTTTTAATGATTAACATCTCATCTCTGACACTCTTCTGTGTAGGAAAGATTATGGAACAGATAGAAAATGTCCTAAGACACAAAAGTCTTTGAAATCTTTTGAATCAGGGTTCAGGCATGGGAATAAAATGGCATTATTCATTCTGGTTAATAATTTTTGCTAGGACATAGATGAAGTGTACCCCTCATGAGAAGCTCTTAAATACCATCCACTGTGGCATCATTCTGGACCCTCTCAGAGGGCTAGGGATTGGAAAACTGTTCTTCAGTGGTTCTGCTCCTTCCTGATTAGGTGGTTCCAGTCTTAATGGGGAAGGAGAAGCTGGCCTAGTGGCTGCATCCTCTGCTTTTAAACATCTACATGAAACCACTCGGAGAAGGCATCTGATGGTTTAGGATGAGGTGCTATCAATATGCTGATGATATTTAATTGTATATGCCGCTCCGATCTGGCTGGAGATACTATACAAGTCTTGTCCAATGCTGGGAGACTCTTAGCATTTGGATGGAAGAAAACATGTTAAAGTTACACCCAGCAAAATAGAGTTGCTTTTCTTTTGGACTCACAGCTCCTAATAGAAGAGTAGGTCAAGCTGTAATAATGAGGCCCTTAGTTTCAGCTGGTACACCAGTAGCAGCCCTGCTTTGACTGGGAATAGCTTCTTATAATGACTCCTGCCCTCATCAGCACTTGCTGGGATAATTGCAAAGCAATTATGGGGCTATATTTGAAAACCATTCCAAAAACCATAACTCATACAGAACGTGGCAGTCTGTGCGCAGTCAGGTGCTTGACACAATGACCATGTTATCCCATTTCTGCAAATCCTGCAGTAATGTCCTGATGACTTCTGGATGGAAATCAAAGTGCTAGTTATAACCTACACAGCCCTTTATGGCTTAGCCCTTAGTACCTTCAGGTTAGCCTCCTTCAAGTGGATTTGACCTGTCCAAGGCTTTTCTCTTGGGAGAAGCTGCTGGCATTGCTTTATTTCTAGAAAGTGATGGGGCTGAAGTCCAGAGGCTCTATTTCTCTCTGATGACTCCTGCCCTCTGGAATCGTCTCTCTCTGGAGATGAGATTGAGTTCACTGATTATAACTTTCAGGAAACAAGTTAAAAGTAAGTTATTCCAGAGGGCCTTTGAGTATTAACTAATGTTGCAGGGTTCAGTGATACAGAGTTTTAATTAATTTATATTTTATTGTGGATATTTTATTTGTACTTTATTATTGTGAACTGCCAACAGTTGTGAGATAGCAGTATATAAATTCAATAGACTATAGATTTTCATAGGTTATATATTTTCATAGACTATAGGTATCTGCAAACTTTAAACAACTGGATTTGGTTTATTCAGCCTTGCTTTATTGTCAAATCTACACAGCACCATTGCAGAATCATACTTACGCCAAAGTGGGAACACTGTGGTCATCAATAAACATCCGCTCCACTCTATAATGGAAAATCTCTGGGTCATAGCCTTGCTCACCTGCAGGAAAAAATATTATACAAATATTATGTATATAAACAAAGTTCTATTAGGAAGATTCCAAAGCAATATTTTGGACAAATATCTAGATCTTAAATGGTACTTAGGCACTATTTACCCCACAATTCCCTTCAGACATTGACCAGACTCCTTGCTCCACCTAAAATGCACACCCACAGCTTTTAAAATGGGGAACTCTGTGTTTTCATCCTTCTCTGTTCTTTCCTGAATATCTGGGTTCCTTAAGAAAATAAAAATGCTAAGCAACTTTAATCAACGTGTTTAGTTTCGAAGTGTACCTATCTGTTCAGAAAAAGGACAACGCTAAGCCAGGGCAATATAGCATATTCAGTAAAAGGAATACTAATAGCATGGCAGGTAACATTCTGGCAAATCTTTACTTTGAAATTGGTTACATCCCTGCCAGCTATCAGGCAATCTTTACCACTAATTGTTTTGCAACAGTACCACTTGTTCTCAAACTTTAAATATACCTACTCCAAAAAGACTGGCAACCTCTGATCTATACCAAATTTTATATGAATTTGATATAAATTTGCCTTCCCTTTAATTAGTTAGTGGAAGTTCCAGTTTTAACAACAGATTGGAAAAGTTTTTAAAATTAGCAACAAAAACATCTATGATTCACCTAATTTATAGAATCAGATGTATCAAATTACAATAAGTATTTCATCTCCGTATTCAAAGCCCAGCAGCACATGGCCCTCTGAAGTGTCAATATCTATATGGTTTATTAAATACATACACAGAGATGCATCCCATTAAACTGTGTAGAAAAAAAAGCAAAGCTATATTAATTCCAAATTTCTACTGGAGTTGACAGGGTAGCAAACAGCAATATGTTCAACCCTCCTCGCAATTATACTGAATTTTGTTGCTGACAGAATCAGTTAACATCTATGGTTTTTAGATGATTGCTGAGCTACAGGTAGTCCTCAATTTATGACAATTGGGACCAGAATCTTTATCACTGAATGACACAGATGTTGTAAACCTAGAAAAGTTTGATTTAACACTTGCCACGAGGCTTGACATTTAAGAAGTGAACTGAAAAAAATTAGTCTATAATTGAAGCAGTTTTTTCCTTCTAGATGTTTTGTACCTTCCAGATGTTTTGACATTATAACTCAAGAAGTTTCAGTCAGCAAGGTATTGAACCCATCAGATGGAGACCACTAAGTTGGGAAAACATGAACTGAGGTTAAAAAAAAGTGGGAATACATTTGTATCTTAAGGCTATCCTAAAGACTGAGTTCTGTATCATTCAGAACTTTATTTTAAAAGGAAGCAGTTATTGATTTAGTGTGGTATGGTTAAGATATGTGATACCCAGATTCATGTCCTCCCTCAGCTATGGACATTCATTGCATATCTAGAAAGCAAAGCTAAGACTGAAGGTGGTAGATGGCCTGGTTTGTGATTAGAACAGATGCAGTTGACATTTTCCTGACTGCTCCAGTCTTGGTGACTAAGAAACAAAGTAATACTTACTACAAAGATTGTAGACTTTGTAGTGGTCTTCATGTTTTGTGTCCAAGAACTTTGCAACTTCCTTATAAAAAATAATAATTTATTTTAATTGTCAAGGTGGCATGAATTATTAATGACTTTATTTATCTAACTGGTTTCAGATAGAAAGTATTTCAAGGAAGATTCAAATCTCAGACAGAGGGTTTTGATGCTAATATGAAGACATACAGCAAGCTCCTGCAATCTGACTTCTACTTTCATAATTTCCAACCAGTATGCTGGCTAAATTATAAATACTGGTATTGCTAAAGTCCATCAACAAACTAAAGCAGTACTCAGGGAAAGAGACACACCACGGTACATATTCTTACAAAACAGTCCATCCATTGATAAGCTGACTCTTGATTTTTTAATCAAAATGCTGTACCCTGAAAAACGTGCCACCCAGGTTAAGCCAACCCTAAAAAATTTTGTGTTTTAATTTTCCACAATTTGCTTATCTTCAGGTGGCACATTATCCATGGTATTTTGATTAAAATTCCAAGGGTCAGTTTCTCTGCTTATATACAGGTAGTCCTCTACTTACGAACCATAATTGAGTCCAAACTTTCTTCTGCTAAGACAGTTGTTAAGTGAGTTTTGCTCCATTTCATGACCTTTCTTGCTACAATTGTTAAGTGAATCACTGCAGTTGTTAAGTTATTAACACACTTGTTAAGTGGCTCTGGCTTCCTCATTTACCTTGCTTGTCAGAAGGTCACAAAAGGTGATTACATGATCCCGGGACACTGCAACCATCATAAATATGAGTCAATTGTCAAGCATCTGAATTTTGATCATGCAACCATGGAGATGCTGCAACAGTCGTGTGAAAAAAGGTCATAAGTCACTTTTTTCAGTGCCACTGTAACTTTGAACAATCACTAAATGAACTGTTGTAAGTCAAGGACGACCTGTATATGTATTTTTAAAAAGTACTATCATATAAGCCCACCCATGGACAAGCAGAACTCAGTTTTGGGGGTATATTTTGGCACCTAAAATTCCCTGCTGATCCATGAGTATATATGGATATGTGCTTATCATACCATAATCCATAGTGTGGAGGACCTATAGTAAATATTCATACTGATTTTTTATTCAAAACACAGAATGCATTTTTGCTTTATCTGCAAACTCACAAGGACTGTACTTTTAACTGCTAAATTTGATAGTTGTTGAAGGAGCCAGATAGTCAGAATTCTGAGGCCTGCAGAACTCACCAATTTAGAAGAGGAATTGAATATCATTGAATACCATTATTATATTAACGGAAAAACAGAGTTGGAAGGGACCTTGGAGGTCTTCTGGTCCAGAGGTCACCAATCTTTCCCGATTGGTGAACCAGAGGGAAAGGGAGGGGGAAGCATGTTATGTACGCATGTGCGCACAAATGGGGCCACAAGCATACATGCGCCACAAACGGGGTGGCGCTAGCACCATGATACTCACTAGCCCTGCCCTGTTCTTGCGCACCGTGATATCTCATTTTCACATCCCACGGAGCAGCGTTTTTGCACTCCACAGCATGGCAGCATCCCGTTTTCACATCCCAAGGTGCAGCGGCATCTTGTTTTTGCGCCCTGCAGCCATGGCGCTAGCGCAACGGTGGGGGGAGGCATGCATGCACACGTGCACACACTGGCCAGCCTGTCTCGTGGCCCGGTGGCCAGCAGGCCAGGGCCCGGTAGTTGGCCGCCACCCACAGGTTGGGGACCCCTGTTCTAATCCAGGCTCTGCTCACGCAGGAAACCCTATACCAGTGGTTCTCAACCTGTGGGTCGGGACCCCATTTGGGGTCGAACGACCATTTCACGGGGGTCGCCAAACAAGGCAGTCCGCCATTTTTTTCCCCTTTTCTTTGGCCATGCCCCTGGCACCCAGTGATGTATAAGTGGTTGGGGGTCACCACAACATGGGGAACTGTATTATGGGGTCGCGGCATTAGAAAGGTTGAGAACCACTGCCCTATACCATTTTAGACAACTAGCTGTTCAATCTCATCTTAAAAGCCTCCACTGTTGGAGCAACCACAATTTCTGGAGACAAATCATTTGACTGATTGTCAGGAAATTTCTCGTTAGTTCTAGGTTGGTTCTCTCCTTGATTAGTTTCTATCCATTGCCTCTTGTCCTGCCTTAGGTGCTTTGGAAAATAGGTTGACCCACCTCTTCTTTGTGGCAGCCCCTTAGATATTAGAAAACTGCTATCATGTCCCCCCCCTTGTCCTTCTTTTTATCAGACTAGACATACCCAATTCCTGCAATCATTCTTCATACCTTTAGCCTCCAGTCCCCTGGTTAGTACATTGATACTTTTATTGGCACAATTTGGGGTTGTGATATATAGTTGGGTATCATCGACATAGGGTTTCCTGCTTGAGCAGGGGGTTGAACTAGAAGATCTCAAAGGTCCCTTCCAATTCTATTATCCTGTTATCCTGTTAATAATGGTATTAAATCCTCTTCCAAATTAGTAAGTTCTGTAGGCCTCAGAATGCATAATCAACTGCCAAGGATCCATTCACCATACGAGATGCTCATCCTTGAATGCATTAACAGCTGAAAACCGTTTCATTGACAAATAATAATACCAGTAGCAACATTCAAAAAAATAGCAATAGTGAACAGGTCTTGAGTAGTTATCATTTCTCATTGCTTATCTTTGAAACTCATTTTTTCATATGTTAAGTAGGTGTTAAATTTATATATGGATTCATGCCTAAAGCTTTGAGGGGAAAAAAATCCTAAGGGCAGACTATATTTTACATTGCAATATAGCTTTAGCTTCCAAGAGGTCTTTTCTTCTACAATTAATATGATATCTCTTACAATCATACTAAAATTAAACACCACCAATAATAATTGAGAGTAGAGGAAAACAAAAAGCAGGATTCACAGAATAACAGAAATTATTTCTGTCATCTTTTAATTTTTAGATTACCCATATAGGATTCCTGTAGAAAGCCTGCTGCCCAGAAGATGGAAACGACATTGCTATAACACGAGCTAATGAACAGATACAAATAAGCAAAAAAGAAAGAAAATGTTAAGATCTGTGTTGTGAGAGCAATGGGAGATTTTTCATAGGTTCACTACTTCTTTGAGTAGAGTCATGTGAAAAAGTAAGTATACCTCATTTTTTTTAATGTTTTCAACCTATTTCAACATACAAATATTTGATCTTTATTTTAACAATATTAATAAGAGATAAAATATTAGAAATATGCAGTGGTGGGATTCAAATATGTGAACAACTGGTTCTCTGTGTGGATGCCACTTCCGGAAGTCCATTCTGGGCCTGTGCAACAAAAAATTAGCCACCGGTTCTGCCAAACTGGTGCGAACCGGCTGAATCCCACCACTGGAAATATGTGCCATTTACATTTAATAGTACATTGTGTAATTTAAACAAACATAAATGCAAATTTTGCATACAGAAAAACTAAATAGACCCCGAAGACTACTGTATCTCAAATACCTTAGACTTAGGTGTGCCAGATCAAATCTTATTAAAATGTTTTACTAAAACTTCAAACATTTAATTGATTTTGCTCTTTCTTGTTGAATACCTGCCTAGATCCAAAAAACTCTCAGAAGCCTTCAGAAAGGAGATTATAATGCCTGGGTCTGGGAAAGATTTCAAAAGGTTGTCAAACATCAGTGATTCCACTATCCAGAAGATCATCTACAAACGGACATCTACAAACCACAGAATTTCATCATAGGACCTACAGATAGTTCTCACCACTACTGATGTCAAAGTGCACGAGTCTACTATTGTAAAGAAGCTGCACAAATTACATCTATGTGGAACATATGCCAGGAGAAAATATTTGCTGTCCAGAAAGAACATCAGGGCAAGACTAAAATTTGGTCATAAACATCTACACAAAGACCAGGGCTTCTAGAACAATGTGATATGGACAAACAAGCAAAGATAGAGTTATTTGATCACAGTACCAGAAGACATGTTTGGCGAAGTCAGCATTTCATCAGAAGAACCTGATACCAACTGAAAAACATGTTTCTATCAAAAAAGTACGGTAATACCAGGTATTAGAGCCAAAGGCATATTTATTTTTCCACAAAGGAAATGACACATTTGCTCCTTTTTTGGTGTTCTTATTATTGAATTAATTATTGAAAAGTCAATTTTATAGAGTTTTTTTCTTCAATTAATCACCTCTATATTTATATACTGTTTGAATGAAGATAAAATGATATATCCACCTATATTAAAAAAGAAAAAAACTTTATATGGCATGTATTTTTTCAGATGATTGTAGATTAAAAGCAAGAAAAACCATTTCATGATTTCAAAGATTATGACAAGGCTCTTCCTGTCAAATACAACTCTGGGGTTTGGAATTTGTACATTCTCTTAAGCAAAAACGTGACAGCTTGAGAGCCTGTGGTCATAGTTGCAGATGTAACTCTGGTAAAACATTTTTTAAAGGGAGAGAATTGGATTAATTAGTGACTTAATCAGTTCAGAAGTACAAAAGTTTTTTAAAAAACTGAAGCAGGACAATTTTAAAGTTAACACCACCAAGCAAACACTAAATTTTATGCAGGAAAAAAGTAACGGTGGAGTCCTTGGTGGTCTCTAAGCTTGCAGATGTTTCGTTACCAACTAAGTAACATCATCAGTGTGTGAGGTTTGCTCCACAACAACAAAGTACAGTAGCTTGCCCCTTCCAGTGTTGGTAGGGGTATGGTTTTTTTCTTATTAGTTCCTTTTCTACTTGAAAACAATACTCTATTTAAGGAATCTAAATAATCAAGGAAGGAAGTTTGTCAATAACTTAACAAATATCCCACAGTTTAGCATATTAACAATGCAGAACAAATATAATGAAAAATGGACGGAAGATGCTGTACTATAGAATCAGGAGACTATCAGGCTGTGCCAGTAATGGAGTGCTTTGCTCCAAACAGATTATATTAAAGTAAAATCAGCCTTTTTTTTCTAAGTTTAATATGTAATTCAGATTCTTTCCCCCAATATATCAAACTTGCTTCTCCAATTTAAAAGGTTTTCTCCAGAGTCTCAGACCACGGCAGATATTGAAAGCTGATAATCTATCCTCCCCATAATGGAGTGATGAACGAATAATAATCCCAGCATTTTTAAAAATGATCATATTTTGCAAATGTGAAGGAATAAAATCTGGAATTACAGATAGTCTTCGACTTATGACCTCGGGACACTGCAACTATCATAAATACATGCCAGTTGTCAAGCGCTCGCATTTTGATCACTTGACCATGGGGATACTACAATGGTCATATGTGTGAAAAATCATCATAAGTCACTTTTTTCAGTGCCGTGGTAACTTCGAACTGCCACTAAATGAATAGTTGTAAATTGAGGACTTATACTTACTGTATAAATTTGGTACTTTAAATAAAAAAACAAAAAAAATGTGTTGTATTACAATAAAAATATAAAAGACATCCAACAATTAAAAAGAAAAACATGATCACCAGTTGACTTGGTGAAGGATCAAACAATTTATACTAGTGTCATACCATCAGGTCTCTTAAAAGATGCTACAGCTATGAGAATTTGAATTTTTTAAGGCAATAATCCTAAATAAAGAAGTATTTTATTGGCACATATCACATAAATCCCAATATCAATCAGTAACTGTATATATTATGCAGTACAAATGGATTACAAATGGAGAAAGACAAACATGTTACTAATCTAATTTATCCAATTTTAGATATTGCAACTTTCCACAATCTAATACTTTCCAAATACACTAACACAGATTCCAGAATTACCAGTCAGCATGCCAATGGCTATGTTACCTATGTTACTTTGGGTATTGTAATTCCACTTGAAGGGCATCAGACTGAGGAAAAATGAATTATTATAGTTTCTTTCAAGCTACAGCCGAAAAACCTGCTCAAGATCTAGTCTCTCATGAATTACTAACAAGAAAAGGTAACACCACAGTCATTGGCAAAAGCTGCTAATGCAATTAATTCACACTGGTGTCTCCCCCCCTCTTCCTCATTCCCTAGGACCAGCATTCTGCCCTTCGTGAGGAACATCACTGACCCATGATATCAAAATTGTATGCATAAACATTATCTATTATATAAGACTTTATAACCAAGCATAATGATGGAATTAAAGATCTAATTTCCTTTTCACACAAAGAGAGGCATGACTGTGTAAAAGAAAAGGTTGAAAGAGGTGGCAATGGCTCTTGGCCACATTAAGATTTTTTACATGACTCTCACTCTACAAATATTCTGTTGCAAATGGTTAGACTTTAACTGCTCAGTATAATTGGCAAGGTCTACCTCAGCAAGCACTCATTCTTAACACAAAGAAGCAATAGTGAAGAGAAGCATAGGGATCACTACGTTTCCCTAAAAGCAGTCTTTAGATGGAAAATGGAACAAAGGGTTCTTCTTGTGTTCATCTTACACACACTCTTCCATTATCCTTGTATGCCTAGATCTCCATTTATGACCAATCTCTCTACTAGTCAAGAAATACCAACCAGTGACATAAGTGAGATCCAAGTCAAAGCCACCTCTTGTGTAACGCCTTTTATTTTCTGAGACCTGTTAGTCAAACGGGAAAAAAACAATAGTAAATAGTGATGTTAGGAAATAAGTAGTCAGTCATGGAAGCATAGATTCCAGAAATTATCCCATTAAAAATGAAGAGACCTTGAAATCACTCATCTCCTGGTTACTGCCTAACACAATGGTGGAGAAATGATTTGCCACTGCATATTTCTTGAAACTTTTTCCAGTATTTTTTCTGCCTAACTTTGAAGCACCCTGTCTTCAAAATCATACGTTAGTTTAATTCAGCAGGTACAAAAGCACTTTTTTAAAAAAATACTGCAAAGGCTGGTTCAGTAAACAGTAATCTGTCTTAAACATAAGTATATGTTCACAAAAACTCCTCTCTAATAAATATCTACAATGAATACGTTTTGTAAAATTTGCAGCTTTTTTTTTTTTCAAAAAATCAGGCTATTCTTTGGTCACATTTTAGGATCGAAATTTAGGTGCTGGAAGTCAGAGAAAGGTAATTTGCAAGAAAGCACGATCTGTAGCCAAGTTTTTGTCCTAATCTACTGTAGATGGCTTTTTAAATATATCCTCAGACAAGTTATACATCCATGATGTTATCTTAAAAAAAAATCAAGTGGTACAACTAAGCAAAATTCTACTCAAAATCAAGATGTACTGTCACCCACTTGCAAATATATAATACTGCTGTTTCACTGTTAAAATGAAGTAGCACACACACAGAGACAGACACACATACTACTTTGAGTTCAGGCTTTCAGTGCATAAAATTCACAAAGATGCTGATTTGAGAGCTTCACCTTACTATCATGGGTTCTTCAGAAAATCAAGAACAAGCGTTTAAAGTGCAAAATTTGTAATCAATGTGAAACAGATGACCTATTATTTGAAACTCTGAATGAAAACCTGAATATTACATGAAATCACAAGATCTGAAAAAGTCTACCTTCCAACAAAAGACCTCAGTGTTTCCTGTCTGGTGCGCTTTAGAGAGACTGGAAATGCAGCCATCTATTCTAAGCTAACATGGGCCAGTCCTCAAGTCCTTCTATCACAGAATTTAAGGGAAAAAGTCAATTAAAAATTAATTATGGTATTCGTGTTTATTAAAAGAAAGAACATTCAATCGGAGATTTCAAAATATATACACAAAAAAACTGGTTCAGTTTACCTGTTTGCAACAAGCCCACAAACCACTATATCAGCCTTCTTAGAAAGTGAATTCAGCAAATCTAGGCACCAGAGCTGACAACATTCTATTTCACTTACCAACCTCCGAGTCACTTTTTCAAGTCGTTCTGCCTCAGCAGCCAATCGAAAAATTCTTACCAGAATTATAACCCTCAATATTCGAAGAATGGCAACTGCTCTGGGAAATAGAAAGAATGGAATTATATCAACTATTAGTGCAAACTTTGGCTATACCCAGATCACAATGTAGCCCCTTCTACAATGGTATTCAAGTTTGGGAATCTGTAAGTTTCAACCGCACCAAATTATTATACAACCTCATCTCCTGCCATATCTTCCCACAAGTAAAGAATTTCTATAGATATCAGAGTTATTGTGGCAGAAGAGGGAGTAAGAATGCCATTTAATATCTACTTTGTTTTGGGAACAAATGAAACCACTATTGTTATATATCAAAAAGATATCCCTCCCCAAACAAAAAAACCACAATAAGCTAGGTAAAAATCAATGCACGTAAAACCTGATAATTTATAATCTGCTCATCTCTCCCTTTTAAAGAATAAAAATTGAGGTCTTTAACAAATAGGAAAGAAATAAAACACAGCATTTCTGCATTTTGGAGTTAGACTGATCAGGTGCCTGTGGAAATTCTCAGTCATGCAGGTCACAGTTGTCGGAAAGGTGCTTTTTCAAAAGGCAGCTGGACAGTTTTCTTCCTGAAGAAGATGTTTCACTTCTCATCCAAGAAGCTTCATCAGTTCTAGCAGGATGGTGGGGCAATGGAAGGATTAGTTTAGGCAGGATGGTGGGGGGGTTGGAAGGATCCTATTTCTTTGCAGTCATCTGGTTATTAGCACTCTCCCTGAGAGCTCTTGAAGCCTCTTGGGGGTCTATCTGTGCCCTCATGGTCACATGTGCAAATGGGGGTGGAATCTTCTTGGAGCTGCTGCAAGGGCTATATTGTATGATAAGAGATAGGTAGTGTCTTATCCCTTCCTCTCTGTTGAGAGAGAGGGAAGAGAAGCAAAATGTCTTCCTCTTCCTCAGGGAAAAAACAGTCCAGTTGTCTTCTGAAAAAGCACTTTGAGCTGAAGAAGTGCATATTTCTTACCTTGGAAGCAGAGTTATTCCAGCCAAGTCAGAGGAAATATATAAAATATCAACCAACAATGTACCCACAACAATGATGCTATCTAGAATGTTTAATTTGGATTTGAAGTAGTTTTTGAATCTGAAATGCAAAATAGATAAGAATATTCGAACACTAAGTAACAATAGCTTAATGATTTCCCTCTCCCAGTGTCAGAATGACAGTTGCTCATCAAATAGCTACTTCCAATAAGACCTCAGTGCTAAAGAGACAAGAGAGATGGAGGAAACACAAGATGTCTACCTTGGAATTCTGAACAGAACCTATATTTTTCTTCCCTCCGACTATAAATGAACTCTGTAGAAAATAGTATAGTTCTATAGAGGGTGACGATAGAGTCCATGTAGGTTTTATGACAAAAGAAGCATAGGTATCAGCAATAAGCATATTAGAGATATATAGTAGAAAGACAGGAAGATACAGAAGATAGTGTAGATAAAAAGCTCATGGAAAATAGTTAAAAGATAGTTTAGTAATATGATACAAATTTGTGAAATGGTTAAAGGCCCTTATAATTTACAATTCTTTTTTTTTTTGTAAGCGTTCCTTGTTTTGTAAACTAAATTAAAAGTCTCCCCAAGCTGTTGAAGGCAGATTCAAAAACCAAAAGGAACTGTCCAGGTTTCTAAATGCTTTGAGTCTTTATCAAATCTGAGACAATCTGATTATTCGTGGCTCAAAAATATCCTGCCATAGCTCTCCATATTGCAACAATTTGCTGTAAAACTCACATTGTATACATTATCATCTCAGAATCTGTATGTAATCCATTCTTTTATTACCACCAACACCTCTGAGGGAAGCACAATGGTTTTTTAAAAATACAAAAAAAAGTCATTTTAAAAAGCTAGACATGCAATCCATTTAAAAGCAATAGCTTATCACTGATCATGTTCAGTGATCATAAAATATAGACTGTTGGGGCAAAAACTGGAAGGAGAAGTGAAACTAAGTTTGCTTCTAGATTATTCCTCTGAGATGCAACAGTGTTGCCTAATTCATGACATTTTACAGACAGTCAAGATGATATAAAATTCCACTTAGAAGTCTCCTGCCTTTTCCTGATCAAGTTCTTCATCTTTTCTTTCTACCAGAAACATATAAATTTTAAAAAAGAAAGAAACAAAAGCTCAGAAAATATCTTGGTTTGGTTGCAATGTCCTTGAAAGCACTTCAGTGTCTTAAAAAATTAATAGAGTCTCTAGAACAGTGGTTCTCAACCTGTGGGTCGGGACCCCATTTGGGGTCGAACAACCATTTCACGGGGTCGCCAAACAACGCAGTCTGCCATTTTTTCCCCCCTTTTCCTTAGCTGTGCTACTCCCTTTTATTCTATTGGCTTTTGAAAGCCAATAGAATAGACTCTCTTGAATAGGGTCTAATTCTATTGGCTTTCAAAAGCCAATAGGAATTGTCCAGGCTGTCTCTGCCCTGCTGAGCCCGCCAAAAGTCCCATTCTGCAAATGGTGCTGCACCAGTTGAGTAGTCCTCGACTTACGACCGGATGAGTAGTCCTCGACTTACGACTGGTTGGGGGTCGCGGCATTAAAAAGGTTGAGAACCACTGCTCTAGAAATATGAACAGGAGTATTCCAAACTATTTTTTACAGATCCCCAAAAACTTTAAACCTTTAAAAAGAAAACCTTTAAAACATTTTATTTCCAGTACAATTCTACTATAGGAATACAGAGATCTCCCTTCAATCCCTAGGGCTAGTTCTAAATTCCCATATTTCATTCCATCAAGATGCTTGTAAAAATCAGCAGATTTCTATGTGCACATATGCTCTTACCCTTCAATAAACACTCGCAGGATTACATCTATGAAGAAAAATAATGATATACTCAAAGAGAGGTTTCCAATCATGTATTCAACAGAATCGCGTGGTTCATCAATCACCAGAGAAAGAATCACAAGTGAAACATCCACAAAAATAAGCACCACACCAAAAAATCTGCAAGTGTAAAGGAGATGAGAAATGTAGATATATTTCAAAACAAAAAGAATGCAAGTCATAATTCTGTACTTTTTGTTTTTCTATTACATAAGATGTTAAGATCCAATTGGTTTTGGACTACATCTTCTGTAATCTCTAATTACCATTAACTATAGTTTTTGATAATGAGAGCTGGAGAGAAATAAATTCTGGGGATGCTTATTTTGGAAAGAAAATGGTCTTATCAAACCCTACAATTCAGTAATAGAATGACAAGGTGCTGGAGAGCCGCAAGTGTGATGTGCAACCTGCTCCCTAAAACTAAATCAGTTGAACTAAAATAGTTGAAAAGACATGAAAAAACAGTCAATTATTTTATTAATGCAGATAGTGTCTCCAAATCTATTTTAAAAATATTTGATCAAGAAATTTGTAGTATAGTCATATGCTGGAGGCATGTGCATTGTAGACTGGGTTCTTACATTGTGCTACACCATAATATAGTTTGATATTATGTGTCATGTGTAGTCAGACTCTATGGATTGTAAATTATAAATTATGGCCTAATAGTTGAATAAATCTTGCAAACTGTCTTACTGAACAAACCATGGTTTATAAAAATGTTTAAACTGAGCAATATTTTCTGATACAGTAAATCTGTAGAATTGAAAGGGAAAAATTCTCTGTACAATTCTTTCCCTCTACTTAATTACATTTCATGTAAACTTAATACTTACCTGAATCCAAAAGACATCACACATGGAGATACCTTTTTTTTCATCTTGCTGAATAGTTGGTGGAGAAAGGGAGCAAAAGAAAAACTGTTAAAATGTTGACTAAGATTTCAAGGAACAAATCAAGCCTATCAAAATAGAGTTGTATCTGTACTCCCTGATCAGGTATAAATATTGTAGTGGTATCAATAACACAGAAACTTTTATTATACTTATAAGACAGTCTAGAATTATACCTTCAGTAACAACTCACATTTTTAGGCCTGCTAGATACTAGTTAAATCTTCCTAGCAATCCTTTTTGTTTTCCTTATAACTCCTCAAAGCAGCAATTGTTTCTATTTTTCTCAAAGATTTTTGAATCCAAGCTTTAAAAGATAACTATAATTTTTAGTAATTAATAGAATCCTATCAAAAAGAAGAACAAACAGAATTCTATCAAGAAAGAGAGCCAATTAAAGATAGTTAAAAGATGGGAAGGGAGAGAGCAGGATGTGTAGGAGGGAGAGCTCTTAATTCATCAATCACCTCCAGTGTGATGCTCTGCCTTTGGGACCCCAAGCCATCTGGCAGAGCCAGGTCTTCAGGCCCTTACAGAAGGTCAAAAGCTGATCTCATGTCAGAGGCCAAGATGTTCCAAAAGGCAGGAGCAACGGTAGAGAAGGTCTCCTTCCTTGACTGTGGGGCCCACAGCATGCTCTTTCTGCCAGAATGGGTGAGGTCGGCCAGTCCCAAAGGGAGGGACAGTTTTTCAAGTAACCTGGACCCATGCCTTGCAGGTCTTTAAATGGAATTACTAACAGCTTGAATTGCACCTGGAAGCAAACTGGCAGCCAGTGCAGTTCACAGAGCAGTGGTTAACATGACCTATCCTAAGGGCCTCAAGAACTGTCCACGCTGCTGCACTCTGCACCAGTTGAAGTTTACAAAAATTCTCTTCAAGGATAGCCCCATGTAGAACGCATTGCTGCAATGCAAACGCTTGCTAAATGTAAGCATTAAAAAATCCTGACTTTCTTTTCTCAACTGTTAGCTCAATAACAGAGAAATGTTATGTTATAATATAATATTGTGTATTATTTAAATTTATCAGCTTACCTCGTCCATGAATCTGAATCAGAATCTTCTTTCTCAACACCATCATCAAGAGTAACTACAGATTCCTTGGTTAGCTCAGTTCTGCCATAGAATTAATCAGTCAAGCTACTATTATAACATTTCTTCAATGGTAACATAATCAACTCCATTTATCCCAAAGATAAATGACTTGTGTTATTTAAATTTTCAAACTGTTCAGGAAATTCAACTTACTTAGTACGTGTTCCTGCATCCTCTTCAGTAATCTCCTTGGTCACTTGATTTCTGCCACAGAATTAATCAATCAAGCTGCTATAGTTAATATTTCTTCTTCAAAGGCTTCTTCAAACAGCATCATCTCCCCCATTCTAATCACTGCCCTCCAGATGTCACATTCTAGGATTGTAGACTAAATTGGGAAGTGGAAAAATATCCCAGAAGGCAGAGGCAAGCAATTTTCATATTGGTGTTCCATATGGATGTGTCCATGTAATCACCAGGAACTGAGTTTGACTCAAGAATGATTTTACCCTTATTACATCTGGAAGATGCTAAATTGTAAGATGCTTTTTAACACTGAATGAAAAGGCACAATAGTCCACTTTCTAAACATGTACTTTCTCTTTCTTCAAAAACTGCAGGAATCAAAATTAGTCAAGGATGGAAAGGAACAACCAAGGGCATATCTTGAAAAAGTGTTTTATAAATGTATCTTCTTCATATATCTAATCACCAGGAGTATTGATTTTTCTGTTTACTCCAATGAAAGTCATCCACTTGTGGATAAAACTGAGATAGTTTCAAGTGGGAAAATGTGAAGACTATAATGGAATATACTACACACTTGTTCGTACAAGTTTTTCCCACATTCAGATAAAGTACAAAATGCCCTGCACATCACAATACGTGATTCAAATTGGCATTCAAATGAAATGTCTCATCTACTGTAAAATATGGAAGTTTGCCTGTTAATATTACCACCCAGTTCAAACCATTGAAATAATGAGGGGAAATATACATGATTTGAATAATAAAGTATTAATTTGCATAACTGTTTTTTTATTTAGGTTCAGATAGAATATACTGTCATTTGATTTGATTATGACTTAGCATGATATACAAATGTAGCCAATTAAATTAATTCATAGTTTCAAAAAATATAACTTGGACTCAAATTGTATTCTCATATGTTTGGGTAGATATGTTATTACAAATCTAGTATTAACTTGAGGCACTAGCAACCGAATCTGAAGTTCTTTGTATTCAGAGTATGGATGCTGCCATGGAACTATCATTACATTTATATTGCAACCAAAATAACTTACCGAATGGAGCCTTCTAATTCAATTTTTACAGTTGACATTATATTTTATTTCTTATGTAGTGGAACACGGCAGAGATACTGCCTATGAAAAGAAAAAACCAGGAACTGTTAAGAGTAACAAAAGTGGTATTTTATACCATGCTATCCTGTCAAGCACAGCTTCTTTCTATTAATGTATACATATGGGCTATTTAAGTTAATCCACCAAAATCAATTGTACATTGTCTATAAATTGGTTGGCATATCAAAGCCACATGCAGATCTGAAAGGCTTCATTACAGTGGTTTCAGATTAAAAGCTCTCAGTTTACTAAAGAAAATAAATTACAGGTAGTCCTCAGTTTATAACTATAATGGAGCCTGCCCATCATGGTCATAAGTTGTGATGGTCATAAATCAGGTCACCCACTTGACCAACCCGATTTTATTACTTTTGCGGCAGTTGTTAAGCAAACATTCCAGTCATTAAGCAAGCCAATTGTCTGCTATGAACTGGTTTTACTAAAAACCAGAAGTAAATGCCATAAATGTGGTCATGTGAGTGAGGGGGGCAGTTTTTAGAAGTTTAGAACCAGGTTGTAAGTACCCACAGGGAGGTTCTTCGTAATTTCAAATAGTTGCTAAGCAACTGGTTGTAAGTCAAAGATGACATGTAAACACATATCCCATTTCTCTTATGTTTTGTTTTTCAGAAAGAAAAAAATGAGAAAAAATACTAGAGGATTATAATTAAAAGTATCAAATACAGTACCAAAAATGGAAGTGGATGGCTGCATAATAAAACATTATCTGGAAGGCTCATTCACTTTGGCCAGACTTCAGTTACTGTACATCAAATTACTAATTCCTTAAATCAAGTCCCAAGCTCCAGGATCACTGATAAATGGGAATCATGGCAGTGGACTTCTAAAGAACACCAGTGTTAGAGAAAGCTGACTTCAGCCTATTTTTCAATGGTGCTTACATCATTACATCAGACAGGAATGAGAAATTCACCTGATCAAGTTTTAAAAATATTTCCTGTAAAGTGAAAGGGAGCACTTTCTTACCATTCTCAATATATCAATATATTTAGAACAGCAAAGTAGCTGTGGCAAGGATAGATTGCACCTCTATAGTTAATGTGCCAGCTGCAATCATTCATCAGCCAGTCAGACTTGGTGAGCTATGTATTATCATTATTTATTTAATTTATATCCCATCTTTATTATTTTTATAAACAACTCAAGGAGACAAACATATATAATGCTCCTTTCTCCTATTTCCATGCAACAACCTTGCAAAGTGGGTCTCTGTTACAACCAAAGTGAACACTGAGATGTATTCTATGTGGAGCTATTTTGGATAAGCAAAACCCTATTGGCCTTCCATAAGGACCTAAAAATTTGGTTATGTGCCTGCATCTGGGGCTCTGAATGTGTTAAGGGCCTGGTGTCTTCACTTTAGTGTTAAATTGGATAATTTCCTCAGCCATTCTTTCTATATACAGGTAGTCCTTGACTTACGGCCACAATTGACCCCAAAATTCCTGTTGTTAACTGAGACACTTGTTAAGTGAGTTTTGCCTCAGTTTATGACCTTTCTTACCATAGTTGCTAAATGAATCACTGCAGTCATTAAGTTAACAACACAGTTGCTAAGTGAATCTGTCTTCCCCAGTGACTTTGTCAGGTTGCAAAAGATGATCACATGAACCCGGGACACTGTGACCTTCATAAATATGAGTCAATTGCCAAGTGTCTGAATTTTGCAGTGGGAATACCGCAATGGTCGTGTGAAAAACGGTCGTAAGTCACTTTTTTCAGTGTCGTCATAACTTTGAACAGTCACTAAATGAGCCGTTGTTAAGTCAAGGACTACCTGTATCTATTTCTGTGCTGTTTTCATTGGTTTTAAACGTTTTATTGTTTTAGACTTGTAAGTTGCCCAGTCATTGGGTTGAGGTGGGCAGCCATAGAAATTAATTAAATAAGTAGAAATTAGCTTAACAGATGCAATCCAATCACAGCTGAAAGAGGAAGAAGGAAGACTCCGGGTTTTTCACCCTCAAGTTTTTCGTTCTCCTTGCTAAGGGAAACTAAGATGTGGTGGGGGGTCAGAGGCTCGCTCACCGGATCGAGGTTTACAGGGAGGAAGGGGCACAAAGGAAGCGCTTCTTTCATTTTCCACTGAGGGCAAAGATGCCCGGTTTCCAAGCGAATTGGCCGCCAGGCTACCTCATGTTCTACTGTACTTAACCGTATGACGGAATCTGGACGGCAACAACCAAGTTCCCGCCCAGCCGTCCGGCCTTACGCTCACCTGCGGTGACCCATCCAAGGCTCTCCGGGTCAATACCACGGATCCCCTGCCTGGGAGTTTCGGGCTACGAGCAGCGGCGACCAGAATGGCTGAGAAAAGCCGCCCCTTTTGGGGCGCCTCCTCATGCTGGCTCGGCCGCGACTCCACCTGACTGGGACTCGGGCCTGCTTATCGCCATCACTGGCGGGAAAAGCGCGGGGCGGCGGGCGGCTTCCCGCAAAGTTCTCTGGCGGAACGCCGTTGCCAAGGCCGCGCGGCTCAGGTCAGAGGCGACCATTATCGCAGCGAGCGGCGACTCTCCCTCCCTAGCGAGGCGCGTGACGTGAGCGCGCGCGCTTCGCGGCTCAGAAGGGCGCAAAGCGGGTGGATTTGATTTTTTTTTTTTCCTCGTCTCGAGGCGTTCGCCTGCCTCAGGAACGCTGGACTGTCCTCTGATCCTCATTAAGTTTGGATTTTATACCCTGGTCTGTTTTGGAAAAAAAAAAAACCCCACAATTGATTGGTGGTGTGTGATTCTCTAAGTCTAAACCTTGCTTTGACTATTACCCGAAATTGGCTGTTTTTCTGCACCACATAAGAAGAAGGCATGATGGTATACATGCGGGATTCTCACCATATGATAATATGCCAAGCCATAAATGTTAATAAATCTAGGCTTTGCACAAATCCACCCCTGCAGATTCCTTTCAGGTCCTTGGTTTGTGCATTGCAGCATGCCTCGATTTGTTTTAATCATGATGCAAAGGAATATAGAAGACTGGGTGCTTTATTCCGATTTAGTATATTTATTTTGATCACGTACCGGTATATATCCACATTATATGCTGGCTGTTAGAGTACATAAAACTCTAACCCAGGGGTAGGCAACCTTGGCTCTTTTATGACTCATGGACTTCAACTCCCAGAATTCCTGAACCAACCATGCTGACTCAGGAATGCTGGGAGTTGGTCCATGAGTCATAAAAGAGCCAAGGTTGCCTACCCTTGCTCTAACCCATATAGTCTTTTGTTCATAATTAACCATATTGGTTAATTTACAACAATAAAATAATATGAAAAGTAAGATTATAAACAGAAAGAAGGAATTACAGTGGTGCAGATAATACTCATCTTCCAACTCTGTAAAAAAATTTACTAGTTTCTAGAAGGCCATTAGAGTGAATGGTTATTTGACCTCAAGAAGGAAGTCATTTCATAACATGGCTTTCTATAGGAAAACATTGGGGTATTTAGAAAATTTGTTAGAGAGCATTTACCAGTTGAGGCATGGATGAGTCTTATTACCAACAACTGCTCAAGACCAAGGTTCCTATGTATAGACTTGGCCATTGTGGTTTGTAAAACTATAGCTTATGACCATAATAGGCAACCATGGACTCCAGTTCTATTTTTATACTTCCAGATTTCCCAAATTGCACTGCTCAAAACTAGATTTTGGCAACATGATTTTTCTTCTCTTTCATTAACATATGCCTAAAATATGCTGGAGGCTTAAAGCATTTTCACTTGGTAGCTAAAGCTCTCTCTCCCCACAGTAATAAACAAAAATGATTAATAATTTTGATTAAATCATTGTCATGACTTTGAAGGCCAGGTTTATTTATTTTGAGTGCATGTCTTAGTCCCCAAAAAGTTTACTGCCCCTTGGTTTATTTCTTTGTATACTGCATGAACTCAACTATTTGAAACTATGCATATGTGGTTACTGAGGTCAACCTCAAGATCCAGACTATTCAAAAATTAGTACTAGCGTTCAAAAATTCCTAGAATAAGTGCCATTAAATTCACAGGAACTCACTTCTGAGCTAATATGCATGGGGTTTATGTCAATCATTTATTTCAGTGTAATAAATGCTACAAAGCCAAACCTCTGACAACAATGTAGAGCCATACTCATTAATTACAGCAATTAAAATCGGATTGGAAGGGTTTTGAAACAGACATTTCATTTTATTAGCATTCAAAAATATTTATGGCTTTCCTGTCTTTCTCATTGATGGAAAAACTTTGTAGAATATATATTAAAAACAGCAGTATTTGGATTTCCTGCGTATGCCAGTTTGAAAATCAGAATGGTTCTATAGTAACAGCCTCATACAGAAGCTACATTATTATAAGCCTAAATTAGTCCGTGCTATGGCAAGATAAAAGGCTCTCTTCATTGAAGTGTACAGTTTTGTCTGATTATCTGAGCTGAGTCTGATTTGGTTACAAAGTCTGGGACATTGAATCCTGCTACTTGAAAGTTACATTCATCTCCCTCCTGACAGGTTAAGGTCCCTCAGGAGGTGATATTTAGATATGTCAAGTGGTGGTAAATATCCCCTTCTAGGATGGTGTGGTTCCACCTGTCTTTAGGGAAAGTAGGTGAGAAGATGATAGGCCAGCAACTTCAAATGACTCTATAGGAAGAGAGATAGTTTGAATAATGGATTGTATATGTATAGGGTAGAGTAATATTTTATTTTAAGTAGGATAACTATTTTGTAGTGGAAGAAGAAATAAGAGAGATTTCTGATAAAATTAATGACTCATGAGACTAAGAACTAGAATACCTTTGGAAGGGGTATCCGAAGTGATAATATGTTTATTTAAGATTAAATTGGACTATGGTAACTAAATTAACAAAGTTTGAAAACAGGATTAGGATTTATAGAAATCTAATGCAGAAATGGATTATTTTAAATATGTCATACTATTTGAGGGAAATAGAGAGGGAATATTTAATGTATTTACTTGAGTTATTCATATATGATTTTGTTTTTGGATGTTTGATTATCCCATCACCACGGTGTGTCTTGAGCACTTTTGTTGTAAAACTTTAAAAACCAATAAAATTTGTTATAAAAAAATGTCTCTATAGGAAGCATGTTATCTGGACACATACTGTAGCAGTCAGAGTTCAGGTTGGGATATAGCACAGAGATGGCACTAATCACACTGTTGGATGACCTCTTGAGAGCTTAGTTCGGGGGAGTATACCTGTCCTGGCCATTCTTGATCTGTCAATGGTTATATAATTGATTCTGGGCCAGCTGAGAGGACTGGGAGCAGGAGACACTGTTCTTCAGCTGTTTAACTTCTTCCTTTGCTGCCTCCAGTTGGTATTTGGGGGAGGGGATTCAGCCTTAGCGCTCTGCTAAAATTGTACATCTCTGCCCCAGGCCATCCAGGTGATGTTGTCAAAGTGTTTTGGAAGTGCCTGGAAGTTTTGCATTTCTGAATAGAGTTGAACTGTGCCTGGAAGTTTTGCATTTCTGAATAGGGTTGAACTATGTAGAAGAGGGAGTAGGGAATGAAGGACAGGAGGAAGATTTACTAAGATAAGTAGGACTTGAATCTGGGCCAAGAAACTGACTTGAGAAAATGTATAAAGTAAATCCCTCCCTGGTTCACATGAAGATAAAGGAAGAAAGAGGGAAGTGCATTCAGACTTGCAAGATTCTGTTGCTATAGCTTTATAATGAGTTTCTTAGTTTAGTCTTGTGTAGGCTATACAGCTGACCAACTTGATAACATTGAATGGCTATGAGTTTTAAGGCTCCTTCTATCTGATAATTTTCCTTTGTTAATTCTGAATGAGATTATACTCCTCCAGGCAGAGTGGGTCTGGGGAATTCCTTTGGACTCATGGCATCAGTTTCAAGAGCAGGTGACAGCTGTAGCTAAGAGGGCCTTCACCCAAATGCATCTTATGTCGGTGGTGCCCATTCCCAATGGAGAAGCACTGCTATTCATGCTACTACAACACACTCTGCTTAGGGTCACTTTTGAAAGGTGTGTGTACCTTTCAAAAGCGTACATTACTGCAAGGACTACTTATACACAATACTGCAAGTGCTGTTGCATTTTGTTTAGCTAAGGCTTGTGTATAAGTAGTCCTTGACTTACAACAGTTCATTTAATGACCGCTCAAAGTTACCACAGCACTGAAAAAAGTGACTTATGACCATTTTTCACACTTGACACCCATGCAGCACCCCATAGTCAGATGATCAAAATTCGGACCTTGACAACTGATTCTTATTTATGATGGTTGAAGTGTCCCAAGGTCATTCAATCCCTTTTTGCAGCTTTCTGATGAGCAAAGTCAATGGGCAAGCCAGATTCAGTTTGCAACCCTGTTATTAACTTAACTGATTCACTTAACAACTCTGGCAGGAAAGGTCACAAAGTTGAGCAAAACTCACTTAACAACTGTCTCACTTAGCAACAGAAAATTTGGACTTGATTGTGGTTGTAAGACAATGACTACCTGAACATTACTGCATTGGGACCCAGTAGGTTCCAGGTTCAATTTAAGGTGCTATTGGTTATCTTTAAAAATGTTATGGGGCCAGGTTATTAATGGAAACATTTTCCCCTGATGGCTTCTTCCTATCCCAACAGATTGGGCAGGGTAGGCATGCTACAAATCCCTTCAGGAGGGCAATGTCACCTGACATTTCCTAGGAAATGTGCCTCCTCTATCGTGGTGCTTGCCCTATGGAAGAGCCCCCTCCCAGAGATAACAGAGATTCTAACCTTGCCGGCTTTTCAGAAGGCTATGAAGACCTGACTCTTCCCCCAAGCATTTATTTATTTATGAGACTTATATACCGCTTTAAGTGCAAGCACTCTCTAAGCGGTGTACACCAATAAGCAATGTATATATATATTCACATTGCCCCCAACAATCTGGGTCCTCCTTTTACCTACCCCGGAAGGATGGAAGGCTGAGTCAACCTTGAGCCGGTGAGATTTGAACCGCTGACCTGCTGAACACAGTCAGCTAAAGCGGCCTGCAGTACTGCACTCTAACTGCTGCGTGCCACCTCTGCTCATTGGGGCCAGACTGCATTGGGGCCAGACTGTTCGTTCTGGAACTTTGGTGCATGTAAGCATGATGTGGCTTCCCCCTGAGATTTTTAACAAGAGGCCCTCTCTCTCATTTTTTTTTTTTTTTTTGTATACTGAACAAAGTTTACATCTGTCCATGTTTTTATACTATATGTTCTCTGCCCAGAGTTTTGTGGATACATGGGTGGCATTATAAATTTGATAAAGGTAAGAACAATAGTCCAATATACTGGTCAAGAACAGGTTGGTTGATAGATGTTTTTGGACTTCCCAGTCTAGGGATAAGAGAGAATGACTGACCCAATATTACCCAACCATTCTAGACTCTGGATCTGATCCAGTATCTTAACCTCTACACTCCACTGGCTATCAGAAACTGTATAAATGACTAAGAGAATTTTAAACCCGGATCTTTCACTTCTAGTCTAATCTTTTAACCTTTACACCACACTGGCTT